TGCTGTATCTGTGAGGGGCTGTGGTAAAGCTGGAGTCTGAGATTCCACTTTGTTGTAACAATTAGAAGTTTTATTTTGTTCCTTTTTTTTTTTAGTCTTTTGATACAGGGTCTCACTCTGTAGTTCAGGCTGCCCTTGAACTCATGGCAATCCTTCTGCCTCAGCCTCCCAAGAGCTGGGATTATACCTGGCTGTTCAATTTTTTTAAATTAAAAAGAGGGGGGGGTGCTTTTAAATCAGTGAGGAGCAGTATTGGGTACTAGAAAAAGTTCTGAACTTGAGGTCCAGACACCCAGCCGATAGTCTCGGTTCTAACTCTTTTTTTTTTTGTACTGGGGATCAAACTCAGGACCTTGTGCTTTCGAGGCAGGCGCTGGAACCACTGAGCTAAATCCCCGGCCTCTAACTCTTGAGTGCTGGGTGACATGGATGTGTTATGCAACTTCTTTTTAAATGGGGAATTCTAGTCCCAGCGTCCAGAGAATTCCTTTGAGGCTCACATTATATAAAAAGTTGCTTGGGAAACACTAAAGACCCAATATAAAGGAGTATTATTATTATAGTGCAGATAAAATTATAGAGAGGAGCTTACCTGCTCAGGATTACTGAATGAATAAATCATTAGAAGAGCAAAGGAAATGAATTCCTTGTGCTTTTTTTTTTTTGGTACCGGGGATCAAACTCGGGTCCTTGTGCTTGCGCAGCAGCAGTGAAACCACTGAGTTAAATCTCTGGCCCATCCCTTGTACTTCTGATAGTGATATGATCTGGTTACTAGACAACAGCCAGCTGCTGCCCACTCCAGTGCACATTTGGGAAAGTCTGCAGTAGTTAACTGAGAGCAATTTGCCTTTGATGGATGCTGATCTCATCTCGATGCACATCTCTGAGGCCCTGAAGGAAGAGTAACTACCGATGGCGCAAATCACAAATCACTCACTTCATGGTGCAGATTACCAGCACTTACCTCTTTCTGTTTCTTGTACGCCATTGATATTTCGCTCGAAATGTCTACTGATTATTTGTTCTAAGAGCTGATCATGTAAGAAGTGAATCTGCTATTAAATATTTATCATGCTAGGAAAGATCTTTTTATATTAGGGAAGAAAAAAAGTTAGAGAAGGAAAAGAGTAGTGAAAAACAGATTTTTTAAAAACCCATTAGAGCATGACTGTGAAAGTGCTGATCTGAATCAGAGTGTCCAGTAGTTGCTTCTATTTGGTGGACTTGGGAGATATTAGAGACCTGCAGGACCACAGAGTGTGGCTGGTTTCCACCCCAGCATGGCAGCAGATTTGCGGTTGGCTAAGTAGACCTGGTCCTTGTGGGTTCCAAACAGGCAGCGGAAACAATGAGGACTTACTATGTTAGTCAGCTTTGCATTGCTGTAACAACCTGAGATAGCTTCGACAGAGGAAAAGTTAGCTGTGCATGGTGCATGCCTGTAATCCTAACAGTCTCAGAGGCCGAGGCAGTAGGGCCACAAGTTCAAGCCCAGCTGGGCAGTTTAGCAACTTAATGAGACCCTGGCTCAAAATAAAAAAGGGGCTGGAACAGAGCTCAGTATGAAGGCCCTGGATTCAGTTCACAGGATCAGGGGAAAAAAAAAAAGGAAAGACGTATTTTGGGTGACAGTTGTAGAGGTTTTACTCCCAGGCTGATTGGCCCCCTTGTTTTGGGCCTGTGATGAGGCAGCACCTCATGGCAGCCAGGATGCAAGAAAGGGGCTGAGATCCCAGTATCCCCTTCAAGAGCTCACCCCTAATAACTTAATGTCCGCTCCTAGGCCTCTCCTCTGAAAGGTTCCATCACTTTCCAGTAGGAAAAGGCTGCCACAGGCCGAGAACCAAGCTTTAACACATAGGCCTTGGGAGGATTTAAGCTTCAGGCTACATACACCACCCATGTCAGGGATGGAGCAGGAGGTGGGGAGGATGCAGACTGGAAGGAGCCTTACAAAGTCTAAGGGTCAGTTCAAGGCCATTTTTGTTGTATCGATTACCTTTCTCTGGGAAAAATACCTGAGAAAAATAACATAATGGAAGAAAGGTTTATTTTGCTTCACAGTGGCAGTAGTTTCAGTCCATGGTCAGCCAGCTCCATGGCTTTTAGGCCTGTGGTGAGGCAGAAACATCATGGTGGAAGGGCATGACAGAAGAAAACTGCTCACCTCATGGCAGTCAGGAAGCAGAGAGAAAGGCAAAGAGCCAGAGAGGAAGGGGCTGGGGACCAGATGCAGTCACCAGGGTTGCGCCCCCTTGATCCATTCCCTTCAGTTAGGCCCCCACACCCAATAATGGCATTAAATTATGGTCTCATCAATGGACTGTTCCAGTTTATGAAGATAGAGATCTCATAATCCAGTCACTTTCCTCCAAAGCCTGTCAGCTGGCAACCAAGACTTTAGCAGTGGACTTTGGGGGGCATTTTAAATACAAATCATAACATGTGAAAGATGAGGAGTGAGGAAGGAGTTGGGAAAGAGTCCCAGTTTTCTGTCTTGGGCAGCCAGCCTGAAGGTCATGCTATTCCCTGGAAGACAAAGGGCAGGAAAAGAAACAGGATTGCCGGGGAAAATTAGGTTCTCTAGGTCTTGAGTTTCAGGCGCCTTGGACTGTCTAAGGGGAGATGCTAAGAGGCAGTATGCAGGCGTGCAAGGCAGGCAGAGGGCGGGCTGGAGGTTTGGGGTGGGAGTCTTGAGATGACTGAAGCTGTACGGGTGGCCAGGCAGATGAGAGGGTGGAGAATGAGGAGGAAAGAGAGGGTCGCTGACCTGGACTGGCCGGATGGGCCCCGTAAGGCAGCCAGCAAGCTTGAGAGTCCTAATGGGAAGGCAGATGTAGCAGACAGTATATGATTTTGTGACTCACAGACCCCCTCAGATTGACTCAAAGTGACCTTGAGCCAGCCAGGAGTCTACAGCTAAGGATGAGAACCTCCACTCTCTGGGTCAGGAGGCTCTGCAACTGGAAACTTGTCAGTTTCCTCTCATGGTGATTCTCTGCGTCTTTTTTTGGTGGTATTGGATTGATCCTGGAGCCTTCACACTAAGCTACATCCCCAGTCCTTTTTAATTTTTAAATTTTGAGACAGGGCCTTACTAAGTTGCCAAGGCTGGGCTCAAACTTTCTATCCTATTGCCTCAGCCTCCCTGAGTGCTGTGTGTGCCACCACTGTGTCGGCTTCCCTGTGTGTTAAAATCAGTAGGCTGCCTAAATTAACTTCATTGCTCATGATTGTTTGGGAGAGGAAATGCAGAAATGTCACAGTCAAAATGCACAACTCCAAGCATTGGGAGTTGTGCTGTGTTCAGGTGGTATCTAATTCTAGAGTTCTGCTTTTGGAGGGGATCTTAGCAGCCCGTCTGGACTGTCATCCAGAGCAGGAATTCTGTTGGATGAATCACCTTGGTAGATTTTTTTTCCCTTCCTTCTCTGTGGGTATTGGGAACCGACAGCATGATTCTCATGTTTCCTGGCAGAGTATTCACAATGACAAGTGTAAACCACAAGGAGAGTTGAGATAGTAAGGCATGTTTGGAGGTGGCTAGGATTTTCTAGTTGAATGGAATCCAGTCACAGGTGATCCATACAAACTTCTTTAATGGGAAGAGGAACAAAGCTGCTTCAGGTTGGGAGCCCAGGCTAGGTTGAGGCCATGGCAGTGCCTACACACTAGGAGAAACCCCATGATCCCAGCCCTCTTGATCTCTTCTCAGTTTCTTTTGAACTTTGTGTTTCCAGGAAAGCATCCAAAGACAAGCCTGACCCCTGGTCTCTGGACACATCTGTGTTGCTGGCACCAGTTGCTAGAGACTTGAGGAAAATAAAACAGGGAGTTGGTCAAGAGTCTCCCCCTGCTCTGTGTTAATTTCATACTGTGGGGTTTAAACAACAGACGACTGTGAGGCAAATCCCTTAAACTCACTCAGCCTATAGGCTCATTGTGTTGGGGAGGGAGAGAGGTAGGAGAGCCCAGAGTGTGGCTGTCATGTGGCCCTGAGAGCGTTTTCCCGTTAGCTTTCTCTTGGTCTTAGGGTAGATAACTTGCTGGGAGAAGTTCTTAAATACAGTAACTTGGTGAAGATTTCCTCCTGTCACCCTTCTCTTTATGGAATTCTTGCTGTTTGAATGTTGCACTTCATGGACTGGTTCTCTAATTTTCTTGTCTTTTTCTCTTCAACTATCTACCTTTCAGTTTGTTTTTTGGTACCAGGGATCAAACTTAGGACCTTGTGCTTGCCAGGCAGGCGCTGTGCCATTGAGCTAAATCCCCAGTCCCTACCTTTCAGTTTTGGTTGTGTTTTCTGGGAGATTTCATGAATTTTTCTTCTATCTTTGTAGTTAATTTTTCACTTTTGTTGTCATGTTCTGTAAAAATTGTTAGAAGCTCTTTTTAATTTTCTTTTTTATAGCCCCATTTTTGCTTTATCAATGCAGTATATCCTTCTCTGTCTCTCTCTCCCTCTGTCCCCCTCTCCCCCGTCCCCCTCTCTCCCCCTCTCTCCCTTTCTCCACCCCTCCTCCACTTCTGCCACTAATCTATACCCCCAGTACTTTTTATTTGAAACAAAGTCTTTCTAAGTTGCCCAGGCTGGTCTTCAACTTGCAATCCTCCTGCCTCAGCCTTTTGAGTAGCTGGTATTACAGGCATGTGCCACAATCTTTCTCTTAAAAAAAAAAAAAAAATCTCTACATAGTCTTGGTTTTTTAGGTTTTTTGTTTTGTTTTGTTTAAGTCTTTATTTTTCATGTAGGAACTTTCTTAGGCTATGTAGCAAACTGTGCTTGTCTCCTTGTGTTTAAAAATTAAGAGCAGGAGACTAGAAGCTGAAGGGGAGTCTTGGCTTGTGGATGAGCCTGATCTGGGTGGGCTATTTGCTGAGGGTACCTCCCCTCCACCTGATATCAGTGTCTTCAGATTTTTCTTCTTGGGTTCAGATTTCCCCAGAAGTTTCCTCTCTCTCCTGCCTGGGAGATAATGATCTGGTGGCCAGAATTCTGGACACTGAGTGGGTGAAGAGGCTGGTGTGGGAAGGGTAGTTCTTGACAAGCCATGTGCATGTGATCATTTAGCTTTTCTGTTTGTGGTCTTAGACCCATACTTTCATGGTGCCTTGGATCTGTCAGGCGTGGGGAAACCCCAGTGTTCTGCCACCTGTGAGGGAAGGCCCATTACCCAGTGACGGCCCATTACCCAGTGACGACAGCTGTGGAAGGGGTCCAGGGTATAACTGCTTCTCAGTACTGCCCGCCAGCATGCCTCATGCCCTCCCTCCCTTTTAAGTTCTAGACGTTCCTGGTGCTGCCAGTTTCTTTTTTTCTTTTTTTGGTACCGGGGATCAAACTCAGGTCCTTGCGCTTGCACAGCAGGCAGCGAAACCACTGAGCTAAAACCCCTGCCCTTGGTGCTGCCAGTTTCTAAAACTTGAGGGTTCTGCTGTGTATGTTTGATTGGTTTTCACTGTTTCCCACTGCTGGATTAGAATTCCATTTATGACGGATTCAACTTTTGTGGATCTGCTACACTAAGCCAGTTGGCACACATCTGTTGTAGAAAATAAGACCACAGACTCAGAATGTAAAAACAGGCTTTATCAGTCATAGGAACCACATTCCAGGAAGGAAGGAGCTGGGGACCACTACACCCTCATTTCCTAACATAGCAAGTGACTGGCTCTTCCCATTTTTTTCTTTTTCACTGAGAGAGCTTCTGTGGTCTGGGGCTTGCTCTCTGGGCAGCAATCAACAGTCTGACTGAATAGAGACAGAAAGTTAAAAACAAATAGTTACACTACACCCAGCCCAGTTTCTCACCACCCTAGCTCATCAGCTTACTCTGAGCAGGAAGTCAAGGGAAGCCAAAGGTTGTTCTTCTTACTGGGTTCTTCACACCCTCCCAGACTCCAGTCCACGTCCTCAACAGAGTGGTCTCAAGGCTAGAACTTTTAGCTCAACTACAGCATGGAGAGACAGACACTGCCAGTCATTTTCTACCACCCACCTGTCCCACAGCTGAGGAGTGACAGCCAGGTCTGTTATCCCAGCCCAGAGCCTTCACCTGTATTCTGCAGAATGTTCAGATAGTGCCCAGGAACACGGGAGTGAGTAGAGGGAGCCTGCCCACAGCCACAGGGAACTGTGTCTGGTCTAGGTGACCCTACGTGGAGAAGAAAGAGAACAGTTTACATGGGAGCTTTGTAAGTTTTATAGGGAAAAAAGAGAAACATGGCAAAGGCTCAAGTGAAGAATTTACCATACAGATAAAACCATTTTAAGCTTTTTTCTTTTGTACTGGGGATCGAACTCAGGACCTTGCGCTTGTGAGGCAGGTGCGGTGCCACTGAGCTAAATCCCTGGCCACAGATAAAGCAATTTTAATCACTCTCAAACATCAAGTTATGAATGTCCCAAATGGGACATAATGTGAAATGACAGAATTAGGTAGAAAATGGGCCAGCTGAGCTAAGGAAATAGGAGACAGGGACTAACAGCATTGCAGAACTAAGATGTCAGTTTTTCTTATTGATTTTTATTTACTTTGTGCAGTACTGGGGACCAAACCCAGGGCTTCACACGTGCTAGGCCAGTGTTCTGCCATTGAGTTATGCGCCTAGTGGTTAAGAAACAAATTTTAAAACAAGAGGCAAATGTTTTCTATGGAGTCTGGGAGACTGGCTTGAGAAAAATCCCCAGCCTGCGTATTCAGTGAAGGTTAGTACCTCGGCCCTTCCCTGGATTGTTAGCTTTCTTCCCTTCCTGGGGCTCCACCTCCTTCCTGTGCTTCATCCTGGGCCCAAGTTGAAACAGGATGTTTTCTTTTCCTGGTATCTTATTGTAACCTATTATGTGGATTTGGGGAAAGGAAATAGCCCTCCTGAAACTCTGTGTGTGTGTGTGTGTGTGTGTGTGTGTGTGTGTTAGGGTTAGGGGGACATTTCCTACCTTCTGGAAGCTTCCCTGAGGCTTATGTCTTATACCAATTTGACTCCTGTAGAACGGCTGTATTGAAGGCTCTGCTGAGGGAGGGAGGTGCTGAAACTGGCCTTGTCATGCTGTATGACTCTAAGCATTTTGTAATATTTCAGACCTGGAGCCCTAAAGTAGGTTAAATCTTGTAGAATTGGGGTGATTAGAATTTTAGACTTGAAAAATATGTTGATTCACACCACCACCGTTGTGGACAGTCATTTGGTATCTCTTGGGTTCCGTTTCTTTATCAAATGGACTAGACTGGGGCTTCTTGCCCATGGCACTATTGATATTTTGGGACAGATGAGCTTCACATTGTAGGATGTCTAGCAACCTCCCTGGTCCTCAGCCCATTAGATACCTGTAACACCCCCTAGCATTCAAAATTGTCTCAAGCATTTGTCCCTTGGGGACAAATTCACTCCCTGTTGAGAACTACTAGACTAGATATTTTGTGGCTCCTGTCTGCTCTGGGTTTCTGGGATTGTATAAAATACTCCATTTTTTCCTTTCTCTTTAAAGTGCATTTCCCCTAATCCTTTAGTCCTTGGGGAAATTCCCATTCAAGATAAGAAATGTGATTCGGAACCATTAGATACCGCATCTGCCAATTTAAGATGCTGCATCTACCAATTTAAGATGCTGGCCACATCTTGGGTTCCTGCTAAGACTGAGTTGCCTATGGTGGGTTTTGCAGCTTAAGGAGGAATTACTGTAGTCATCATAGGGTGTGTGGTAGAGCACCAGCTCCTTGTAGAGGAACACATATAGGCAGGAGACCAAATAGGGCATTAGCAGATGGCACTGCTGCTATTGGCAACGTAAAAGGGCAGTGTCTTTTCTGTTTCTTTAGCAAATGTAAAATGATTCCCAGATAACTAAATGTCAGTGTCACTATGTTGTATAAAAATACCCGCATTCTTCAGTTCTCTTTAAAAGCTGTCTTATTTGATGATGTATATAGAATAATAGTAGTGCCTTTTATCCTGGAAGGTTAATTGCCATTTCACAATTTCTTGTTTTTCTTTGGTCCAAAAAGGTTCAAAATATCAGCGTAACTGATATTGACTAATACCAGCTATTGACTTTAAGACGATATTAATTATGTTGGTTTTCATTTTTTACTAATTTTTTCCATTTGTGTATATTTTGTAACTTCACAGTTCCTTTTATTCAAGGAATGTTATATTTTAGGCAATCTTAGGAAGAAAAAAATAGCTATACTTTATTTTATTTTGGTGCTGGGGACTGAACTCAGGACCTAGCACGTACTAAATACATGGTATAGTCTACGTGCCCAGTGCCAGAATAGCTCTTTTTTAGAACTGAAATGAGGTGTCTGTTGTTCTCATGGATGCCTACAAACTCCTGTTTCTCATCACCATGGTGCTGTTTGAGATTTCCCTTTTATAATCAAAGTTCCAAGGCCCATGGAATTTCGCTGTGAGATTTTTCTAGCTCCTTAACCTTTTGGCTTTAAACCTTATGAAACAGGAGAAAATAATGTCAGAAGTTAGAATCTCCCCTTGAAGAGAAAGGGAAGTCATTTCTGTAACTTTACCAGTATCTTCATGGTCTAAGATTAGGGTTTTGTTTCTCATGTATCAGGCATTTACCGTCAGTGTGCTCCTCTCAGATACTGGCAGCAGCAGTTTTGGATGTTATGACCTTGACATTTGAGTCTTATGCAACCCCTCAATATCCTTACTAGGACAATGTAACCAAGCCATTGTTAAAGCTGGTGACAGCTCCAAACTATCTGGTCCCATTTTTTTCTCCCACTCCCCACCACTCAAATCAAAGCTAAACAAGAATGTCCTCAGATTATAACTGGACTGAACAATGGTCTCTCAACAGTTAGAGAGAGTGGTAACCTTGTTCTTGTCCTGGGCTGATATTTGGTCTCTCTCAGATACAAATACATAATAAATTATAATTTTAAATAACATATTTTATAGGGGTAAGCAAGGATACCTCTCTTCAGATGAAAGCACTATGGAATAGTTTCATATTAAGCAAACTGTATTTGTATTTTGAGTTTGAATTTGAAGATTTTTTGTTTGTTTGTATGGGGGATTGAATCTAAGGCTTTCAGGCTGAGCTATATCCTTAGCCCTTTTTTATTTATTATTTTATTTTATTTTATTTTTTGGTACCGGGGATTGAACTCGGGTCCTTGGGCTTGCATAGCAGGCGTCAAAACCACTGAGCTAAATCCCTGGCCCCCTTTTTTATTTTTTATTTTGAGGGAGTGTCTTAGTTTCTTTTCTTGTTGCTGGAACAAAATACCCAACATCCAAAGTTAAAGGAGGAAAGGTTTATTTCAGCTCACAGTTTATAGAGTTTTCAGTCCATAATTGGCTGGCTCCAAGGCAGGGCAGAATGTCAGAGGGGCATCGCAGAGGACAAACAGACCATGGCAGAGCAGGCAGGAGGCAGCAAGAGGCTAGCAGCTAGCAGCAGCAGCAGCCAGCCTCCCTTTCCCTTTTATCCCATCGAGGGTATAAACCTTTTGGGTGGTGCCAGCCACATCCAGGATGAGGGTTCCATTATTCACACCCACATGGATGCTAAACCAATTTAGTTATCACACACCCTTTGTTATGGCTTGTATCTAGATGTCTTCCTAAAGCCTCATGCAGTCATAGGTGTGGCTTTTTGGAGGTGGCTGGATCTAGTGTGTGTGATGCTGGGATCAAGGATGTGATGCTAGGATTAAGGGCATAAGTGCTACCTGTCCTAAGGGTGTGTAGGCTGGATAAAACAAAAGGGACAGAAAGGGTTGTTGCTTGCTGCTCGGGTGCTTTTTGCTGCCTTTGGCCTACTATAAACTGTTTCTCCTCTCCAATGCTCCTCTGACATGCCACTCTGCCTTAGAGCCAGCCAACTATGGACTGACACCTCTATAAACTGTGAGCTGAAATAAACCTTCCTTCCTTTAACTTTGAGTGTTGGGTATTTTGTCTTGGCAACAGAAAAGTAACTAAAACAGTCTTAATCCCAGTATTGCATACCCTAATCCAGCATCACACACCCATGACCCAGCCACCTCCCAAAAGCCCAATCTATGAGCATGTGAGGCTTTGTGGCAGGGGGACATCTAGATACAAACCATAACAGGCAGAGTCTCACTAAGTTGCCCAGGCTAGCCTCAAACTTTCAGTCTTCCTGCCTCAGCCTCCTAAAGTGCTGGGATTACAGGCATGGGCCACCACATCTAGCTGAATTTGAAGTTTTTATCTAAAATTGTAATTTTCTGGGCCGGGAGATTTAGCTCAGTGGTTCCTCGCCCTGCCTCTCAAGCGCAAGGACCCGAGTGCCCGAGTTCAATCCCCAGTACCAAAAAAAAAAAAACCATGTGGTAAAATTATAATTTTCTAATGACTTTTTCTAGGCAGCTTTATTGAGATAAAATTCACATTACATACCATTCATCCATTCAATGTATACAGTTCAGGGGCTTTTAATATATCTGTAAAATGATACATCCATTATCACAATTTTTTGAACACTTTCATTATCCACAAAAAAAACCCAGTTTTTTTTGTTTGTTTGTTTGGTTTGTTTTTTTTTGGTACTGGGGATCAAACTCAGGTCTTTGCCCTTACACAGCAGACGACAAAACCACTGAGCTAAATCCCAGGACCCCAATTTGTTTTTTGAGACAGAATCTCACAATGTAATTGACGCTGGCCTCGAACTCACTATGCACTCCAGGCTGCATGATCCTCCTGCCTTAGAAACCAAATATTCCTTAGATGTCATCCCTAAAACCCCATCTGTCTTGCCTAGGCAACTACTGACCTACTTTCTATAGATTTGCCTATTCTAGACATTTCATATAAGTGAAATCACATAATGTATGTGTGGTCCCTTGTGACTATCTTCTTTGACTTAGCTTTTTTTTTTGGTACTGTGGATTGAACTCAGGACCTCGTACTTGTGAGGCAGGCACAGTGCCACTGAGCTAAATCCCCAGCCCAGGCTTAGCATGTTTTAAAGGTTCATCTGTTATAACATGTCAGTACTCCACTCCTTTTCATGACTGAATAATAGTCCATTTTATGGATATACTACATTTATTTAGCCATTCATAAGCTGGAATGGACTTTTGGGTTGTTATGATTAATACTGTTTGAAAATTTCCTGTACGGGCTGGGGATTTAGCTCAGTGGTTCCGGCACCTGTCTTGCAAGTGCAAGGTCCCGAGTTCAATCCCCGGTACCAAAAAAAAAAAAGAAAAAGAAAATTTCCTGTACAACTTTTCGTTTTAACTTTCTTTGGCTGTATACTTAGGAATTGCTGTATCACGTGTAACTCTATTCTTGACCTTGTGAGGATCTACCAGTCTGGTTCCCAGAGCATCTCGTTGTTTTACATCCTGGCAGCAGTGCCCAAGACTTGTAATGACTTCTTGCCTTATGATACTTCAGGTGTTATGTCTTGATTCCCCTCCCAGACTGTAAGTTCTTTGAGCTAAATGATCCATCTATCTATCTATATCTATATATTTTGTTTGCTTGTTTTTTTGGTACCAGGGATCGAACTCAGGACCTTGCACTTGCGAGGCGGGGTGGGGGGGGCAACACTGAGCTAAATCCGCGGCCTGCCTCCCCCCCCCGCCCATATATTTTTTTTTGTACCAGGGATTGAATTTGGGTCCTTGCACTTGTGCAGCAGGTGGTGAAACCACTGAGCTAAATCCTCAGCCTCTATATATTTTTTTGAGACAGGGTCTCACTATGTAGTTCAGGTTGGCCTTGAACTCACTGTGTAGTCCATGCTGGCTTTGAACTTGCGATGATCCTCCTGCCAGAGAGTATAGGAATGAGGTGCAGCCTGCCACAGAAGTTGTCACATTTGAAGGTAAATGGAGATTAGCGTTCAGGAGCAGAGAATAGCCAGTGACCCGTGGGAGTCCTCAGCAAGTCCTCCCTGCTGAGAGACCTGGATCTCCAAGGGCATCCTGAATCATTCTCTCCCTCTGGGGAGCTGCTGAGTCACACCAGGCTCACTCTCTCAGTTCCTTGACTGGCCTGTCCTTGATCCTGCTCTTCCGGGGCCTGGAAAACTCTTCCCAAGATCCTCAAGGGCTGGCCCCTCCCTTCCACCTCCTCAGGGAACCTTCTTCCAAATCTCATCATGCTCAGTTCTTTTAGACTTGTTAATTTCCTTTAGCACTAGTCGCCCTCTGAGGCCATCTTCCTTATTCCTTTGAGTTTGCTGGCTCTCTTCCCCGCTTTGCATCAGAGGGTAACACCTTAAGAGCAAATGTTTTCTTTAGCTTTTTCATTATTGGCTCTCCAGTGCTTAAAATGTTGGGCACACAGCAGGTGTTCCATAAACATTGTTGCATGTTTGACAAATTGTATGCAAAGAAAAACTGGTAAACTGGGAGACATATATTAGAACTGGATGGAGAAGCAATAATAAACCAGTTGGAAATCACTAGATCCTTGTTAGGAAGGACAAAGTAGCATTTTAAATAAATGATAATGGAGATGGTAACAAGCAAAGTGTTAAATACAATTGTGGGCACTGAGCTAAGTGCGTCCCTCACTTTAACTTATTTAATCCTCACAGCATAAGATACATGTGATCATTCCCCTTTTACAGATGGGGAAACTGTAACACATAGAGAGTTCCTAACTTTCCCTAAGTCCTAGCTGATAGGCAGAGAAGCAGGGATTTGAGCTTTGACTGTCTGACAAAAAAATCCGTTTGAATCACTTTGGTTTATGTGCCAAGGTGATCATAGCACTGTAATGGAGAAAAGGATACCTGAGTTCAATTTCAGAGTTTAGTCCACGCTAGTGCCAGAGAGGATGTACAGTGGGAAGAGTACTTGGAGGGGTGTTTAGGGAGTAGCTTCTGCCGATTCTGGAGTGACCACTTAGTGGCTCTACAGGTGTCTTTGTCCTCAGGGTGTATCTCATTGCCCACACAGGGCCTTGGATCCTGGTTTATGATCTCTTAGGTTCTTCCCAGTATAACAGTTCTTGAGCCCCAAAAGAGAATCTTTCCTTTTTTTTTTTTTTTGTACTGGGGATCGAACTGGGGACCTTGCGCTTTCGAGGCAGGTGCTGGAATCACTGAACTAAATCCCCAGCCCAGGAAAATCAGTGAAAGTTACTTCACTGAAATTTGCTTCCTAAATCAAAATATTTTACTAACCAACTTCTTGTGTTAGTGTTTAAGCTTACAGTACTATCCTTATGAAAGTGATTGAAATAAGTCAACAGGGCTTCAAATAGAGGCTGTCTTATGAATATATTGTAAGAGGCTTGTACAGTTTACTGTATGTCTGTATCCTATATTGAGTGGGAAGTGTAATTGGAGAACAGTGTGTCTAATATCCCAACAAGGAGTATAAGTATGCATGCATGCCTTCCCACTCTTGCTTGCGTACCCTTGGAAAAGGTGCACCCCAACCAGCTAGTAGGAGTGAGGAGGGGAATTTCACTTTCTATGTTTCTCTAAATTTTTTCAGCAAGAATGTGTTACTTTTATATTATTAAAACTACATAAGGGTCAGGCGTGGTGGTACACGCCCAATCCCAGCACTGGGGAGGCAAGGAAGGAGGACTGCTACAAGTTCGAGGCCCACCTGCGCTGCCTAGTGAGTTCAATCCCAGCCTGAACTGCATAGTGAGACCCTGCCTCAAAAAAATAAAACAAAGCAAAACAAAAAAAACCTACATAAAGGCCAGAAATTAGAGTGATTTAGGGGTTAGGGATGTGGCTCAGCAGTGCCATGCCTGCCTGCTAGTGCAAGGTCTGAGTTCGATCCCCATTACTGAAAAAAAAAAGTGGTTTATAATTAAGTTACCAGTAGTTTCTTTCTTGGTATTGGAGGTTGAACCCAGGTGCTTTGCACTGAGCTACATCCCCAGCCCCTTTTTCATTTATTATTATTAATTAATTAATTAATTTTCAATACTGAGGATCATACTCAGGACCTTGCACTTGCGGTGCCAATGAGCTAAATCCCTGGCCCTTCTTTTCTCCTTTTTTATTTTTGAGTCAGGGTCCTCCAAGTTGATAGGTTACCCAGGGTGGGCGGGGTCAAACTTGACATCCTCCTGCCTCAACCTCTCAGAGTGCTGAAATTCTAAGCATGTACCTCCACACCCAGCTGGGTTATCATGTTTCTTGGGGCCTGGATGTTTCTAGGGAAAGTCATGGAGTACTTGGAGAGCTTGTCAAGTTATTGGACCATTTCCTGCCCTCTTGTTGAACACTGACTTCCACCACATGGGAAGACTCTTCCACCCAGCATGAGAAATTCAGAGTTGCAGTTGCTGTCTTTAGAAGTCTGAGTGCTGTCAGAGAGAAGAGACACAGAGTAGATGACAGATGGGAGAGCCAGCTGCTGACCCTGGTGAACTGGGTGTGGCAGAGCTGTCCTGACGGGATCCGAGTATTGTAGCCATGTAACAGTCCTCTCTGGTTTCACATACTTATTTTCTTTTTGCCACCTTACTATACATTTAAAATTTTCCAATATCTTTGATTTCTGTAAGTGGATATTTTAAATCCTTCGTATCCATATTATGACTTTTTGTTTTCCCATTTTGAGTGAAATTTTGGAACAGTATTAACAACATAGTTCCTGTGTCTGTCTGATGACTGAATATCTTTTACTTTCTGTGGGCTTTGATTCAGTGTAAAAACATCCTTTCTAGATGGCCTGAGGCCACTCTGTCTCTTCAGAGGAGGATGAGGGTCCTTATGTTCAACTATATATTTACATTTAGAATTTATATGCATTGGTACTATTGTGACATTATTCCAAAGTGTATTCACATTTATTGATGGTTAGAGAAGTTTTGAAGTTTGTGGTGAAATACCCATGTAATTTTTCAGAATATTTTAAATAATTTTTAATATTGATTTCCTTACCACTTGTTTCTTTTCTTAGTCCTCTTCAGTATCCCCACCTCCCTTATTGATTTCTTTGTTTTTTTTGTACCAGGATTGAACTTGGGTGCTTGCACTTTCGGGGCAGGCAGCAGAACCACTGAGCTAAATCTCCAGCCCTGATTTCCTTTTAAGAAGAGTTATACATTATGTTGAAAATCTTTATTGGTGGAAGTAATTTTTGTTTGTTGTTTTGCTTTGTTTTCATGATACTATAGATTAAACCCAAGGCCTCCCTCATTCTAGACAATTGCTCTACCACTGAACTGTATCCATAGCCCTTATTTCTTTGTCTATATGAGATATAATTTTATAGCAGCATTATAATAGTTTTTGTTGTTTTGGTTTTGAAACCGGGTCTTTCTAAGTAGCCTAGGCTGTACTTAAACTTTTTTTTTTTTTGTACCAGGGATTGAACTCAGGACCTTGCGCTTGCTAGGCTGTATGATATGAAGAATCTACTTTCCTACCTACGTGGCCAAGAGGGAAGCAGGGTCCACCAGGGCCTTGGTCCTCCATATTATGGGGAGATCAAAGCTGCCCCTGGTCTTTTGAAAACATCTACATAGGCTAGGTGGGCAGTAGAGCAGATGCATAGAAATGAGGCTTCCTGCTTGGACCAGCTCCAGAACGTTCTGTTGTCTTTCTTCACATACAGAGGACCTCAAAAGAAGGAAGGTTATAGCCAAGGATTATATGTGAGAAAGTAGCCTAGGATACTTGATTCTTACGCTAAGATGGGCTCTAATCCTTGTTTCCTTTTTGGTATTGGATTAAAAAATGTAGGGCAGGGTTGGAATTGGCTGTTAACAATACCTAGGACAGATACATGCTCTGAGAATCTTGGAAAGGAAATAACTTCGTAGCAAGGATTGCAGCTGCAGCAGTTATTTATGTCTTTTAACCCTTGTGATACTTCGTTTGATTTTCTAGTTATATTTCTGCCTTCCCCAGCTAAAAGGTGTTGTAAGCAAGATATTTTTTAGGGCATTTAGATTAATTTACAGTAGCAAAAAATATTAATTCTCAGTAATACAATAAGCTCAAATAAAGACAGTGAATTACACTGTTTTCTGCTATCACAGAAGCAAAGATTAAAATAAGCCTTAAGGTATTATTTTATCGGGTAGTATGTTAATTTGCAGAGTCATACAGTATTGGCAAGAGTGTATTATGTTTTTGGAAAATAATTTAGCTGATGAGGCCAGGGATTTAGCTCAGTGCTTCACCACCTGCCTCGCAAGTGCAAGGTCCCGAGTTCCATCCCCAGTACTACAAAAACAAAAAATAAATTCAGCTAAGTTTATCAAAAGCCCAGAACACTTATACATTTTAATCTATTCATTTCATACCCAGAAACTTCTTTTATCAGAATGGCCTTGGGCACAACAGTGTTCATTAATCTATTATTATTATCATTTCATTTTTTGACTCCAAGTATTAAACTCATGGCTTCATGCATGCTAGCTCTATCATTAAGCTACAACTCCAACACATTTTTTTTCTGAGCTTTTGTTTTTTTCTATGCAGAAAGCTTGGAACAACTTTGCCAGGTGTGGTGGTACATGCCTGTAATCCCAGCACTTGGGAGGCTGAGGCAGGAGGATTGCCATGAGTTTGAGACCAGTCTGGGCTACATAGCAAGACCCTGTCTAAAAAAAAAAAGAAAAGAAAGCTTGACAACTTTGGAGGTCATAAATTGACAAAGATCAATCATAATTTTAACCTCACAAAAATAACGTTTTGGTGTACATTTTTCTAATTTTCCTATGCTCATTTGCTTTCAAAAAATGGTTGTTAACTGGATATGGTGACACATACGTGTTATCCCAACAGCAGGAGCATGGCAAGGTTAAGGCCAAACTGGGCTAGATAGAAAGTTCAAGGCCAGTCTAGACTACAGAGTGAGACTACTAAAAACAAAACAAACAAACAAACAAAAGGATGCACCGTGCATTTTTCCCTTGTAGCCTCCCCCCAACCCCCATACTAGGTGTGGAACCCAGGGCCTTCACACTGAACTATATTGCTAGCCCTTTTTATTTTTTATTTTGAGACAAAGTCTTGCTAAGTCACAGAGTTGTCTAGGCTGGGCTCCAATTTGTGATCTTCCTGCCTCAGCTTTCTAAAGTGGTGGAATGTCACATATGTGCCACCATGCTTGGTGTCCCCAACGCCTTATACAGTATTTGGGATATTTGTTCCCCCAGTTCTATTCACCTAAGACACCTCTAACCTTAGTGGAAACCAGTCTTGTAACTCCAGCTGTGTATGTTTGAACATTGTTGGAAACCATGCACGTGCGTGTGTGCGCACATACACAAATTAAGCTGCCTGGTTTCATTTTAAAGCATGTTCATGGGCTTTAAATGAGCTCTTAGAACTGCCCAGGATTGCCAGACATTATAAATTCATTTTCCCCAGTCTCTGGGAGGATATGTGAAACCTCCTTTCTTCAACCTTTTCCCCTCCCCTCCCTATTAACCATGACTTCATCTCAGCCAGGAACCCCCCACCACCACCACATCTCCAAGCCCATGTACAAGTGTTCTTCCTCCCTCCTCCTGATTGAGATCCAGCATGATGCTCTGCCGCCTGCTGGGGTCAGGCTGTCCTGTGTCTCAGATCCAACTGCTTCTTCCTCCTCAGGAGCCTCAGTTTTTCAACTGTCCATCTTTTCTTATGCATCCTGCCTTCATCATTAAATGTTCTAACCCTCACATCTCTAAAAACGAATAAAACCCTGCTTTGCTTTCATACCTCTGTCTCTCCTGTTAGTTTTCATGTTTTCTTTCTGCTGCCTTTTTCAGCGAAAGTTCTGAAAAACCTTGTTAAGAATCTTTCTTTTTCTCCTCTTCCCCTTTAGTCTGGCTTTATCTTTGTTGTTTCACTGAAAGGTATGTCAAAGTCAAGAAAGACCATGTTTCTATCCTCACTTTACTGATCCTATCAGAGCTAGGGATTTTCTCCCACTTGCCTCCTGTTTCTGTTTGATGATGACTTCCCAAGTTTTGATGGCAGCTAAGGCCATTCTTCTAAGCTCCAGAGTCACCTCTACTACCTACCCAGCATCACCCCTTGAATGTCCCTTAGCTATCTCCATCTTAAAGTAGCCCAAATAGAACTACTGTTCTCCTACTGATCACTTCTTTTCCCTCTACATGTCTCAAAATGTGTCTTCATCCATTTCTTTGCTGAAACTCCATATCTAAGAGTCTTCCATATTTCTTTCCTTTTCTCCTCATCCAGCTCATCAGCTTGCCCTTTGGTTTTACCTCCAATGTATTCATCTCATCTGCCTATGTCTTGCCACTAGTCGTGCTCGGACTGTCGCTATGGCCCCTGGACTCTACTCCCTGCTTGTTCTCGTCTCTCCACAGCACATCAGATCACCCCCCTGCCTTCTGTGCCTTTGCAGTGCCCTTCAGATAAAATCACGTCCCTTGCCAGGCATGGCAGCACACACCTATGGTCCCAGTACTCTGGGAAGCTGAGTCAGAGTTGCCAGATTTGAGCCCAGCCTGGGCTACATAGCCACTTAGTAAGACTCTGTCTCAAAATAAAAAGACTGGGGATGTAGCTCAGTGTGAAGGCCCAGGATTTAATTCTTAGTACAATATAGAATATATATATATATTCCTTGCCAAGGGCCACAAGGTCCTGTATGATCTGGCCTCCATCCTCAGCCTGTACCATCTTATGTTCTAAAAAATGTCAAGGAAGCACATTTCCCTTTATTGAATGAAAGAGTAAATGCATGAGTACATATTTTCCCATGACATTATTTCTAATAGGTACATAGTATTCTGTTGTACAAATGTGACCTAATTGACTTAATCATTGCTGTCTTATGCCATTTATTTGGTTTTTTTTCACCACCAAAACATGAGAAATAATCTAATGGCTATTGGGACTATTCTTAACTAAACTATGGACTATTATACAAGCATATACAATCCAAGGAAGCATTTTTATTAACATAGGGAAATATTTATCCATTCATGTGTTTTGTTTTGTTTTGTTTTGTTTTTGGTACCAGAGATTGAACTTGGGACCTTGTGGTTGCAAGGCAGGCAATGGAACCACTGAGCTAAATCCCTGGCCCAACATAGGGAAATATTAAGTGAAAAAAAGCATGGTACAAAATCATATATACAATATGATTCTAACTTTGTAAAAGTACATAGAAATTCTAGTAGGAAATAAACTAAGATGTTAATTATGCATTTCATGTTGGCAAGATCTTTTGGGTTTTTTGTGGGGGTTTTGGGGGATTTTTTTGGTACCAGGGATCGAACTCGGGACCTTGCGCTTGCGAGGCAGGCGGCAGAACCACTGAGCTAAATCCCCGGTCCTTGTTTTTTGTTGTTGTTGTTGTTTTTTTTCCGGTACCGGGTATCAAACTTGGGTCCTTGCACTTGCGCAGCAGGCAGTGAAACCACTGAGCTAAATCCCTGGCCCTCCTTGTTTTGTTTTTTGAGACAAGTCTTGCTATGTAGTCCAGGCTAGCCTTGAGTTCACTGTGAAGTTACTAAAGAACTCAGATCAGTTCTGTGACACATCAGATTATTGATGGTAGTCAAAAGCAGAGTTAGGGAGCCATGCTTGGCAGTGCACACCTGTAATTCTAGCACGCAGGAGGCTGAGGGAGGAGGACCTTGAATTTGAGGGCAGCTTAGGCTACATAGTGAGATCCTGTCTCGAAAAAAAGAAAAAACAAAAAAACAAAACCAGAGTTAGGAACCATGAGGCTCTAGAGAGTAGTCTAAACATTTGAAATGCACTTGCTGATGACAGCTGTAGGCCTTTGGGTGACCTGGGCTTTGAGAGTAGCTAGGATCACATTTCTTGTGAAGCCTCTGAGGCTGTTAGACACTGGGGCTGCCAAAGTGGTGAGTAGGGGAGGAGACTGTGCCACAGATGTGCCCAGAGCTGGTGATACCTCAGAACTGCTCCTCACATCTGGTTTTGGAGCTGGAGGGAACTCCTGTGGTCTGAGACATTGTCACGAACTTCTATTCATTAAGGCAGTGGTTCTCAAATCCAACACCCTTCTGGGGGTTCATGAGGCCAAAACTATCAGACTAAGATGTCATTTGCCTTTTAGTTCTCATCCTCTTACGAGTGGAGATTTCCAGATGCCGCATGATTCCCAGCAGATTGGCTACAGAAGCAGATAAGGGAAGCCAGCATTTTCTGTAAAGCCAGACATTAAGGAAGATTACAAAAATGTAAAGCACTGCCAACATTTTCCCTAAGATTTCTTATTATGGAAAATAGTTATTTTTCATTAAGATACTATTTGTGTTAATATATACTGGGTTTATTTTTTATTTTAGATAAATCAATTTTTTAAAATTTCAGTTTAATGAGTCAGGGTCTCGCTGGGTGGTTCAGGCTGACTTCAAACTCAAGGCGATCCTCCTGCCTTAGTCTCCCAAGTGCTAGGATTATGAGTGTGTGCCACTATGCCTAGCTAATTTTTTTTTTTCTTTTTTTTGGTACTGAGGATCGAACTCGGGGCCTTGCGCTTTCAAGGCAGGTGGCGGAACCACTGAGCTAAATCCCCAGCCCTCCCAGATAATTTTTAATATTGCAAATACTAATAAATACTAATAGATATTTACCCATTTAAATCAACCTCCTTTGGATCCTCAATTTTTTTTTTTTTTTTTTTTTTTTTTTTTTGGGTACCGAAGATTGAACTTGGGACCTTCCACCTGCGAGGCAGGCAGTGGAACCACTGAGCTAAATCCCCTGCCCTGGATCCTCAAATTTTAAGCGTAAAAAGAAGTCCTGAGACCAAAAAGTTTGAGAACTACTGAATTGAGGTGGCAGGAAGAGGATTATCTTTATGGTGGGTTGTTTGGGACTCAGTCAATAGATTGTTGAATTGCTTGACCCGAGAACAAGGCCTAAAGGAAAATGACCTAGTGTAATAGACAGGTGTGGAAGTCCTTAAATACATAAATTCTCTCTCTCCTTCACCCTCCTTTTTTAGAAATCATGCATGATGTGATCAAGAAGGTCAAGAAGAAGGGGGAATGGAAGGTAAGTAAAAGAATGCAATAAGGGCCCTGAGGATGAGTACATGTGGGAAAAATAAGAATGGGGCAGAGCTGGATGGAAGGAGTCATGCAGGAATGAGGGCTTTTGCTGTGACCAGAGACACAAAAATCTCATGGATTGGAGAAGGCAGTCTCTACTGCCTTTTGTTTTATAGGATCTTGGTTCAGAGGTCTCTTGGTCATGTTAAGACAAAACAAAACAAAGAGGCTTGTTTATTCACAAAATATCTGTCACTTTTACCTACAACATCTGGAGCAGTACTAGAAACTATAACATGCATAAAACAAGTATTTAAGCCAGCGGATTGAAGATAGCCTTAGGTTCCTGGATTGGCTGACACAGAATGGCCCATGCTGTCCTCCACAAGTGTTGTCAGCATTTTAAGAGTCGCCCTGTTGCCCAGGGCTGGTGTCATGCTGGCCAGATTTTATGTGAAAGTCCCCATGTGGTGTAGAAGGGATTATACCAGCCATTCTTGCCCTCACATTTTCAGTTGCAAGGTCACTGGGCCTGGGAACAACAGAGCTGATTGGTGCAAGGGCATTTTGAAGCCTCACTCAGGCCCTGTGAGATTCTGTTTGGGTCAGCACATCCATCTTCATTACCCAGAAGGCGAGGCCATCTGGTGGGAACTCTTTATACAGGTCTTTTTCTGGTGCCCTCCCATCATAAATGGATTTATAGGCACGGGAATGTTAACTTGTTCTTGAGGAAGCTGCCTCATGAAATGAAACTAATTAGCCCTGGTACTGCAGCAGAAAGCTTTCTGTCCACACCGTCTGCCCAGATATGTCTGGTGGCCATTGCCTCCTTCTTGGTATGTCTTTAAAGGACAAGGGACAGCCTTGCGTTAACTGCTGCCTTCCTCTCTACCAGTGGGCTGAATGGGGATAGGAAGGTTCACTGAACGGGGCAGGTGTGAGGTTTGAGGCCAGGAGCATTCATGTTCTTCCAGTCTGCACAGTGCTATAGCATAATGCCAGAAACTGTGTGTGCCAGAGAAAGTAGGACTCCTCAAGACACTGGATCAGGTCCTTAGGTGGCATACCTTATGTATGGACACCTCTCTTTCTTTTAAAAACAAATGTTGTTTGTTTGTGGTACTGGGGATTGGACCCAGGGCCTTTGCACTGAGCTACATCCGCAGACCTTTTTTATTTTTAGTTTAAAACAAGGTCTTGATAAACTACTCAGTAGTACAGGCTGGGCTCAAACTTGTGATCTTCCTGCCTCTCGCAGAGTGCTGGGATTACAGGCATACGTCACCACACCCTGCTACCACACCCAGGTAAAAACAAGTTTTTCCCTGAAAACATACTCACTAATGTGATTATCTCTCAGTGTTGATGCTACAAATGATTTTCCCTTCATTTTGCATTTTTATGAGTACTTACTTTTTCAGAATCATGCAATGAAAATGATTTTTTTAAATTTTTTGAGACAGGGTCTCACTGTGTAGTTCAGGCTGGCCTTAAACTCAGTAGGACCAAGTGTGGTGGCGCCTGCCTATAATCCCAGGACTTGGGAGGCTGAGGCAGAAGGATCACCACAAGTTCAAGGCCAGCTACAGCAAGTTCAAGGCTACATAGGAAGACCCTGTCTCAAACAAGCAAACACACAAAAAAACCTCACTGTATAGCCCAGGCTAGCCTCAAACTCAGGGCGATCGCCTCCCAACTGCTGGGATTATAGGTGTGGGCTCCAAGGCTGGCGAAAACTTTCTTTGAAGTTTATGAAATTGAGTCAAGTCAAGAAGAACAAATACTAACTCCTAGAAGGTTAGGTTTGGGTGTGGGAGGTAAAAGCAAGGTGTGTCTGGACCATAGGAAATGTGGTTCATCCCACAGTCTGCATTTCTGGTGCTTTCTGATGCTGATGTAGTAGCCTGATGGGAGAATCAGCAGGTACCATGTAGCTCATGAGCTTTCTCTCCTTCCAGGTGCTGGTGGTGGACCAGCTAAGCATGAGGATGCTCTCTTCCTGCTGCAAGATGACAGACATCATGACCGAGGGGATAACAAGTGAGCACAACTCTGCCTTGGGCCAGGGCGGGCTTCACTCTCCTAGTCATTATTCTCACTTGACTTTAGACAGTGCTGACACTCCTGAGGGGGATCCAGGTTGCCTGTTCATCACTGCATCCTCGAAGCTAAGGCAGTGGTATCAGTTAGTGTTGAAAGAAAGGTTATATCAAGGCAAGAAGGCAGACTACCCGATAGCAGAGACCCAAGAAGACACTTAATATGGGAAGAAACCCAAATGGCCAATACATATATGAAAAGTCCCCACCCCATTAGTGATCAGGGACTCCCATTCAAACCAGAGTGAGCCACCGCTACAGACTCACCAGATGGCGAAGACGCAGAAAAACAGGAACTCCTCCTGTCAGCTGCAGTAGCAGCTGGTGCAGCTACTCTGAAAACCCTTGGCAGAGTCTATTAAAGCTGTAGGTATGTGTGGCCTGAGAGCCGATGGGGCTGTGATGTGTGTGCCCTGTACACACGGGTAGGAGTTCACAGAACGTTGGCATAGGGGTCCCAAATGGGAAATAGCTGTCGAGGATAGAATGGTTACATGCACAAGGCTGTGGGTTCCATCTCCAGTAACACACACACACACACACACACACACACACACACACAGAGTGATTCATTAAATTGTGGTACAGTAGTTACACAGCAGAATATTTTACACTTGATCTTAGCCAAAAGGCCGAGAAGCAATACAGCAGAATATTTTAAAACAATGAAAATAGAATGAGGCTGGGTATGGTGGTACAGACCTCTAATCCTAGCACTCAGGTGGGCGACTGAGGCAGGAGGATCACTGAGCATTTAAGGCCAGCCTGAGCTACAATGGAGACCTTGTCTTCAAAAAGAAAAAAATAGTCCTTAAATTGTGATGATACTGTATTGTAGTTTTAATATTGATTGTGGGACCACATCATTTTTGGAGTGATTTTTGTGTCATCAGTGTTCCCAGTCACTTGTTTGAGTGTTTTGATTTTGGTGTTTTGAGACAGGGTCTCACTATATAGTTTAGGCTGGTCTTGAACTCACTATGTAACCCTGGCTGGCCTCAAACTTGCTGGGATTACAGGTGTGCACCACAAGGCCCAGGTTTCAAGTTAGTTTTTTTTTTTGGTACCGGGGATCGAACTCAGGACCTTGTGCTTGCAAGGCAGGCACAGGAACCACTGAGCTAAATCCCTGGCCTTCCAAGTTAGTTTTTTGACGAGGCTTGCCCCTATTCTGAGCTTATAAAGTTATTGTCCTCACTGAATGTGTGTGTGTGTGTGTGTGTGTGTGTGTGTGTGTGTGTGTGTTTTACTGGTCCTCACATATATTAGATAAGCGCTCTTACCACTGAGTTATACCTTAACTCTTTATTTTTCTGAGACTGGGTCTCACTAAGTTGCCTGTGAAGGTCTTGAAGTCTCCTGAATAACTGGGATTACAAATGTGCACCATGACATCTGACTTTTCTGGCTGAATTTTTAAATTTTTTTTCACGTGGATGCAGTGGTACGTACCTATAGTCCCAGCTACTCAGAAAGCTGAGGCAGAAGGATGGCTTGAGCCCAGGAGCTCAAGATCAGCCTCGGCAGCATAATGAGACCTCCTCAAGCAAATAAGCCAATCCTGTTTGTCTCTATCAAAGAAAAAAATTCAGAGAAAGGGGAAAAAGCCAAATGGAATTAATAAGCTTAACACTCTGTCCTCATCCTCTAGGGTCCATTGTCCTGGAGCAGCCACCTTGTTCTTCCTTTGTTTCTCATATATATATATATATATATATATATATATATATTTTTTTTTTTTTTCTAAATAAATGCTTATACTATTATCTCTCAATTCATCTATGTTAGACATTACCCTGACTTCCTCTGATAGCTTGGCACCTACCACCACACACAATTCTTTGAAACCCCAAAGGCAGATTTCAAAATATGTCCTCTCTTAGCAAAATTAAAAAGTTCACAACTATATGCTGAGGCCCCAAAACATTTTGGGGAAAGCATTAGTAGACTATAAGATTTAAAACTCTTACAACTACTGGTAAAGAAGATGGTTAGGGGATTAATTTGAGCATTATTTGGGGTGAGAGTTTTTATAAATGTTATAAGGAACACTTCTAAAATGATGCCTTTTTATATAAAACATCTGTATAGAAGAATAATCCATGGCTGTACACTCTTGAGTGTGCCAGAGGACAGTGTGGTATAGGTCACGCATCCTAAACGTTATCTGGTGACTAGTGAGATAAGAAAGCTTTCAAAGCTATTTTGCTCAGGTGAAGTAGTTGATATGGTCATAAAGGAAATTCTGCAGTCCAAAGCCTGTGGCTTGCTGTAACAAAACAGAATTTTTCATCTTTGAACTCTTAAGAGGAGCAATATTACATGAAGGATATGTTTGGAATCTCTTCATTTGATGTACGGAGAAAAATGATAAAACTATGATAAACAAATTGTTGATAAATAAACCCAGCATAGAAATTCTAAAGAAATTGAGGTTATTTAGGACAGATAAGGAAAAGCTAAAGAAAGAGACATCTTGACAGGATGAGCCAGCCATTGCCATTTTCTCTTACAACAAAGAAATTTACTTAAACTGAAATGGGAACTATCTAGTGTGATAAGAGTTCAGGTTTTCTGGGAGTCTGAGGCAAGAGGACTGTAAGTTTGAGCCCAGTTTGGACAGTTTAGAAACTTAGCTAGACCCTGTCTCAAGGAAAATAATCCGGTTTTCTAACATCTTGGTCATAACAAAACAGTGGAGCTCACACCCAAGGAGTATGGGAACTTTAAGGAGGGGTGAGGGTTCTTTCTCTCCCTCCTTATTATAGCCTTTGACCTGCCAGTCTTGGGGTGGCTTGTCTGTATTGCTTCTAGTTTTATTGTCCTGAGTCAGGTTTTCATATTCACTGTGGGCTGTTTTGTCCTTTAGTTGTGGAAGACATCAACAAGCGCAGAGAACCGCTCCCCAGCCTGGAGGCCGTGTATCTTATCACTCCATCCGAGAAGGTAAATCCTCCAGAGAAGGTAAATCCTCCAGAAGAGAAGAGCTCAGGCTAGCTTACACATGCTGGCTTGGGATCTCTGGTGCATAGCACCCCGTGTTTCTAGGTTAAGCACGCATTTAACACACTGCTTTGTTTAAGCATGCGATCCACAGACGAGACGTGGAGGGAGGGTTGTGCAATGGGAAGTGAAGAGTATATTAAACCTTTTATATTAAGCAACTATGCAGAAAGTCAGAGCTGGTGTCCCCTGGATCATTAGTTTTCCCTCTAGCAGTCCTCTCCACCTCCAGGCTTTGGTATTTTGATTTCAAATTTATTTCATCAATAGCCAGTTAGTATTCCTGTTTACCTGTCTTATAATTTTGAGGGATTGGTTAAAGTCAGAATCCAGACAAGGCCTATGTCCTTACTTTGGTTAGTAGTTGTCTTAGGTCTCTTAGTCAGTTTTTTGAGACAGAGTCTTGCTGTATAGTTCAGGCTGGCCTTGAACTCACTATGTAGCCCAGGCTAGTCTTGAACTTGCAACGGTCCTCATGCATCAGCCTCCTGAGTCCTGAGACATTACATTATATATTTTAACCTATATCAAAAAAATTTCCCTGAGCCAGACATGATATTTGCTTCATGTCTATAGTCCCAGCTATTTGGTAGGCTGAGGCAGGAGAATTCCAATTCCATCCCAACTGGGCAGTTGAGCTAGACTCTGTCACAAACCAGTATCTCTGATTTTCACACTTTCTTATCACTTTTGAAAACTGACTTACGTATGAGTTCCTGCAGATGCAATTAAATTCCCAGAGCTTCATCAATATGAATCTTCCCAAGGTTTCTGCTCAGTTTTGTGGATCAGGAACTCAAGTATCATGACCCTCATACTGTCATTCTGGAATGGGCTAAACTCTGAAATAACCCTAATTTTAAGTCCTGAAAACCCTGACTATGGCGGAATATGAGTGTCAGAATTATATGTCAAAAAACCCTTCCTTATTTTGTGCAGGTAGCCTGACCCAGCTTGGATGTCACTCAGTTCAGCTCTCAGTCCTATTTGCATCTGTAATTGCCCTTAGCGCCCTCTTTTGTTTCTGTCCACAGTCTGTCCACTCTCTCATCAGTGACTTTAAGGACCCACCGACTGCTAAATACCGGGCTGCACACGTCTTCTTCACTGACTGTAAGTAGCTGTGAGCTGTGCTCGTCTGGCCACGTTCGCATTTCTGACCCGCTCTGCTGAACTCACACTGGGTCAGATCAACAGGGAAGAAACAGGTTGTTGCTGTAGTTGTCCTGATCTTTTATTTTCTTTTCAGAAAGTGAATTCCTAAGAGACAGAAATAAACACACACCCATACAAGCCTCCTAGATCATGCAGTTCTTCCTGAGGAGAAAGCTCACCAGGTTTCTCTTCTAAGGACAGAGGCTTCCGGCAGAGAAGCTTTTTCCTGCTGCTGCCTTAGGGTTTCCTGGCACAGACTTACAGCCAGCACTCTAACCTGTAGTGCGTTTCCTTCGGGTTTTCAATACAGTGACGTCCATCCAGTGGTCTTTGTATCAGTAGAACCTACATCACCATCCTGGAGTTGGTTTTTGTATTTTGAGTGGGTTGTTCATGGATCCTAGAAAAGAACCTGTGAGAGATGAGAAGCTGCAGAGTAGACAGTATTAGGCTTCACCCCATCAAGTCACCACTGAGGAAATGGAAAGGGCTTAGTGCAGAATAATCAAAGCATTTGAGTGAGAGTAACAAAGGGAGGAGTAGGGACAGTCAGCTAGGAATGCATTTCTGGACACCTGAAGCCTCTGGCCTAGGACAGTCGCTGGAGGTCATGGTCCTCGCCAGCGGGGCCTCTGTGCAACTGGCTCCTTAGAGGCTCAGGGAAGTGTGGGTGCCTGCATCACATTTCCCACTGACTTCATTTTTCCTTCTTTTGCTTATTATAAGTTAAATGAGTGGTGCTTGGTTATACTACAGGCCTTTCTTTATCCCTTCTTAATCACTTCTGTTTCTTTTTATTTTATGAAAAAATAAAATTTCATAATCAAACAATAAGAGAATAATAATAGTTATTACATTGTGTATTGTAATCTTCAAAGTGGAATACAAAATATAAACCAAAAAGATTCTTATAAAAAAGCACAAAATAGATAATAACACAAATCTTTCTTTTCGGTGACTTAAGAAAACTAATAGTAGGGCTGGGGATTTAGCCCAATGGTTCCGCCGCCTGCCTTGCAAGCACAAGGACCCGAGTTTGATCCTCGGTAACAAAAAAAAAAGAAAACTAATAGTATAAATGAACCCAATTAACATGCATATTGAAACATTTTTTATTTATTTATTTTTTAGTGCCAGGGATCGAACTCAGGACCTTGCACTTGCAAGGCAGGTGCTGGAACCACTAAACTAAATCCCCAGCCCTATTGAAATTTTTTTTGGTACTGAGGATCGAACTCGGGTCCTTGCACTTACGCAGCAGCAGGTGGCGAAACCACTGAGCTAAATCCCCGGCCCCCTATTGAAATATTTTTAAAACAATGGAATTTGTATTTGGGGAAGTATTTGAACTTCTTATTTCCTATGTATCTCTCTTCTGTTTTGTTGTGTTTCTCATATAAGAGAAACCATGGGGTATTTGAGTTTGTTTGTCTGACTTTTTTCACTTAATATTGTGTTCTCAATTTGCATCCATTTGCCCACAAATGCCTCAAGTTTATGGCAGCATAGTACTCCATTGGGTATACATACCACATTTTCCTTGTCCATTCATCTGTTGATGAACATATACAGTACGCTGTATCTGAGATTTAGCTATTATGAATTGTGCTGCTATAAACATGGATATGTATGTGTCCCTGTAATATGATTTTAACTCTTTTGGGAAGATTCCTAGAAGGGGTATAGCTGAGTCTAATGGAATTTCTATTTTTAGTTGTTTGAGGAATCTCCACACTGATTTTCATAGAGATTGTACTAAGTTACCTTCCTACCAACAATGTAGTAGAGTTCCTTTTCCCCACATCACTTCTGTTTTTTTTTTTTGTTTTGTTTTGTTTTTCATACCGGGGATCAAACTCAGGTTCTTGCGCTTCTGTTTTTTTTTTTAACTCCCTTCTTTTCCTTGGAATCAGATAATAGTTTTTATTAGCCCTTAATATCTCAATCTGTTGCTTTTTGTTTCTCTGTGGCTTGTTGAGGGCCTTCCAAGTGGTTTGCCATTCCTCTTATACCCTAAAGGTGTTGGATATTTTAGGATAGGATAAACTTTCAACTTGCCTTTTTAAAATCTGAATAATAAGGTATAGGCATGGTGCATGCCTATAATCTCAGCACTTGGGAGGCTGGGGCAAGTGATCAATCGCTGGGAGAGGCCAGCCTGAACTACATAGCAAGGTCCTGTCTCAAAAAGAATAAAGTAAAAATCTGCATAATAAAGAATCCATTGGATGTGTGTAGCTGTTAAATGAACCAGCAAGGAGACAGGAAACTGACTCTTTTCTTTTTTTTTGGTGCTGGGGATGGAACTCAGGTCCTTCCTCTTTCAAGCCAGGAGGCAGAACCACTGAGCTAAATCCCTGGCCCAGGAAACTGACTCTTTTGTCCTTCTTGTAGCTTGTCCAGATGCCCTGTTTAATGAGCTGGTAAAATCTCGAGCAGCCAAAGTTATCAAAACACTGACGGAAATCAACATTGCATTTCTCCCGTATGAATCCCAGGTGAGGCTGGGCAGGGACTGCATGCACCCTCATTGTCCTCGTGATCCTACCTGATGCTCTGAGAGGGTAGGGCAGTAAAAAAAGCAGGGTAGGGTAGTTCTGAGTTCTGAATTGGCTAAATGGCATGTTATATGTGGGTGTTTGTTTAATGGAAATGGTTTTTCGTGATGTCTTCCCAGTGCCTTCATCTAACTTGCCCAGTGTTTCTGATTTTATAGCAGCCACTGTTCCTTTCTTCATGTGCACATCATCATTGCTCAGTGTTCACTGCTCTTGGCTGACTCCTTGGATAACCAAAAGTAGCCAATCTAAAATCAGAGGAGGGGAGGGCATCAGAGGATCCCATCTGCCTCAGAGGAGATCGTTTTTTATTGGAGATAACCTTGTATTGTCACGTGTTAAAAGAACAGATGGTCGTCGCTGTCATTAACTGTTAACAATTCACGCACCAAAGGCCATGGCAGCAAATTTCTCCCCTTGGAAAAAACCAAAATTGTTAAACCAGTAAAGGTGAAGTGCTTGTGAGAGAATATACTAAATTTATCTTAGTATTTTTAAGGCTTTTAAAAATATCTTCTAACAAATAAAGAATAAAAATACCACAGGACTTTAATGCATTTTGTGGTGGTAAAAGATGATTGTGGCATATTGGATGTTTATGGATCAGCTTCTAGAACCAGAGAGCAACCTATTCTTAGAAAAGAAGGGGTGGAAAAGATGCAGCGTGAACATTTAGAGATGTCTCATTCCCTTCTCACTTGGCTTACAGCCTCTTTCCTGCTTGAGAGCAGGAAATTTTTTCCTCTATGTGAGTCCTGTGACCACCTGGGTTGAACAAAATCCAGCTTTAGCAGATCCAACCATCCTCTAGTCCTAGTCCAGTGATGACAAACCTTTTAGAGACCGAGTGCCCAAACTGCAACCCAAAACCCACTTATTTATCACAAAGTGCCAACACTGCAATTAAATCTGAATATCTAATGCTTGGATGCTGGGATGACTTGGCTTCCATGCTGACAAAAAAGGCTCTGTGTGCCCACTGAGGCATGTGTGCCATAAGTTGGCCACCACTATCCTAGTCCTTATTTATTTATAGACAAGATCTCACTAAATTGTCCTGGCTGGCATGAATTTGGGATCCTCCTACCCTAGCTTCCTGAGTAGCTGGAATTACAGCCATGTACCACCATGCCAGCAATATTTCAGAAATTTTAAGAAATAATAAATGTTTCTTAAAAATTACTTTTTCAAGAGATAAAAGTAGTTTATATAAAGGAGAACTTTAGCTGTGTGTAGTGGTACATGCCTGTAATCCAGGCATTCTGGGGAGCTGAGGCAGAAGGATTATAAATTTGAGGCCAGACTGGGCAGTTTATTGATTGGATGAGACCTTGTCTCAAAGTAAAAAATAAAAAGGGCTGGGCATACAGATTAGTGTGAAGGCCCTGGCTTCAATCCTCAGGACCAAAATAAAATAATAAAAACAAGAACCTGAGACATTACAGGTAGCTGATAGACTCAGTAGCTTAAGAGAGAATTTTAAACTTCTAGGACCCTGAGAGAGAGAAAGAGGAAGAAAGAGGAGAAGGAGAAGGGGATAAGAAGACGAATAGGGGAGAAGAACAAGGAGAAAGTGGAGGAGGAGTGAAGGGAAGAATATGTAGAACACGTAGAACATTTTACTGAGGACAGGATATTATTAAATCTATAAAAAGCCCCTTATCTGCCTACAGTTGTGTTACAGTTTCCAGCTCATTCCCTTTTTATTGAAACCAAACTCATAATGGCCTGTGTGATCTTACACCAACCTCCTCTTTTCTCCACCTGGCTTCTTTATTGTCTGTCTGACACCCTAGGCTCACATTTGCCCTCGTTGGTCCTTGGCTTGTGCACACATGCGCACACACAGTTCCCTCCCAGAGGTCCCCGGTTGGTGGCAAACACCTCACCTCAGATGTCGCTTCTGCATGAGTCCCAGTGTCCTCCGTGCCAGCCCTCCTGGGCGCTCTTTCCCTGCTGTATTATTTTCTCACATATTTACAAGTTCTCAATACCATACAACTTACTTTTCATCCTATTTATTATCTGCCTTCCCTACTATATTACAGACCTTTTTGGGGACAGGATGTTTTGGTCACTAACAGTTCCCAAGTGTTCAGTGCAGGCCTGGCACTGGAATAAATGGAAGCACGTCCCATAGTTCCACTACCAGGGTAGAGATGACTCTGACCACCCACCATTCTGGACCACACACCATGTTTATTTTTTCTCCTCAGGTGTATTCTTTGGACTCTGCTGACTCTTTCCAAAGCTTCTACAGTCCCCACAAGGCTCAGATGAAGAACCCTATCCTGGAGCGGCTGGCAGAGCAGATCGCAACCCTGTGTGCCACCCTGAAGGAGTACCCAGCTGTGCGGTATCGGGGGTAAGGCAGCACAGTCTACTGTGAGCGGCAACCCATGTGTCCCCAAGAGAGGAGCTGTCCCTGTATCTTGATAACTGTCAAGAGAGTCAAGATTTAAGGATCTTGATTTGGGGTGGTGGTGTACATCTAATCCCAGCATTCTAGGAGGCTGAGGCAGGAGGATTGCAAATTCAAGGCTAACCTGGGGAATTGAGTGACTTAGTAATACGCTATCTTAAAAAAATGAAAATGGGGGCTGGGGCTGTAGCTAAGTGCAAAGGCTCTGGGTTCAATCCCAGTACTAAAAAAAACAAACAAAAAAAACTTTAGAGTCTCTCAGTTACTATTATTCTTCAAAGGCTGGGGACACAGCTCAATGGTAGAGCAAACTTGCCTAGCTCATGCGGAGCCCTGGGTTCCATCTATCCCCAGCACCACACATACACACAAAAATCTTTCAATCTTCATTTATTTAAAAGATAAGTTGTAAATTTTATTGTGAATATAATAGAATATTCAGAAAAGAGCATAATTTAAACCCCCATGTAACTAGAGCCCAAATTTCCTATTTTTTAATCTCTGTCTAACCTTTAAAAACAAGTATCATTTTTGCAGAGGTTTTTGAGAGTAAGGTATGGTGTGGCGAGTATAAGCCCTAGGGCATGGTTGTCTGACTTTCAGAAGCCATTCAGTTCCTGCTCACTGCTGTGTGCTGAGTGCTGTGTGCCGAGTAAAGCTGAAGGTGCAGCCTGTCCTCAGAAGCCCCAGATCTGGTAGGGTTGGGAAAGTGTGGATGTTAACGTGTTTGAGGTGTACATATCTGCAGTACTGTGCAGTTGCCTCCAGACACCGAGGGTGGGCAGAGGATGAAGAAGAGCTTTAAGCTAGAGGTGATGTCTGAGCTGGGACTTGAAAGACAGGTTCTGATCTCAATAGACAGATGAAGAGGACGTTGAGGGCATTTTGTGTGGACAGCTGGCTTGCCATTGCTATATGCAAAGCTTGGAGCTGCAAAAGCAAAGGGCAAGTTTGGGGAGGATCAGTAGCCCAGCACCACATAGGGCACAGAGCTGGATGCAGCCACTTCTGGAGGCTTGAATGGCCAGACTTGGGATTCTATCCTTCAGTGGCTTTGCTGGGAAGCGTCTAGGGGATTGAACCCAGTGCTGTAGGCTCACGGAGCCAGGATTGGGAGCAGGAGGCAAGGTGAGGAAAAGTGGGAGCTACTGCCAGAGGAGCCAAAGAGGAGGGAAGGATGGAGTCTGGCGGACTCTGCAGCCCAGGCACTCCAGACTCCATGGGCTGGCTGCCAAGGAATTGAGCTGCAGGACCCAGAGCCCAGTGGTTCCGGGGATCATGTGCTGTGCCTGTCCTCATTGCCTGCTGACACTGAGGGCTCTAGAAAAGCTCCTGTTCATGGCTGCGCTGACACCAGCTTGCCCCCATTGTTGGCACTCTGTGGCAAGAGCCTGATGGCCTTGCCATCTCCCCTCATGGAGCAGTGGGAACTTAGACTGTATGGCACTGAGGCTGTTGAGAGAGAGGTTGGGCACCAACCTCATTCCATGTCCAAAGCCAGGTGAAGTCCAGGAAGCATTGTCAGACTCCGCCAAGGGGAGAGCTTCCTAGGCTCTCACTTCTGTTGGTCTGGTGTTGTGGACAGAAATGTCACTAGCCAGCAAGACAGAGCAAGACCTAAGGGAATCTGAATCAAGAGAAGTGAGAATCACACAGGTCAGGGTCAGACTTCTGATCACAGGAAAAAGATGAGTGGTCAGGGCCAGCTGTTGAAATGTGATTGTTTATCTGAAGCTGCTGGAAAGACTACTGCTTTCATTTAGATTGTTTTTAAAAGAGAAGGATCAAGAAAATCATTTATGTTCCAGCACTGAGCTAAGTATTTTCTTTTTTAAGATACATGTGATATATGAATATATTCTTTTTCTTTATGAATATATTCTCACTATAAAACAAACAGTACAGGCAACGCTTATGTCTCCTAACCCTCCCTGCACTGTCCTGCATCTTCCTGGGACAGTCCATGTATCATTTGGGTACACGGCCGTTCACCCCATCATTCCTCCTTTGTCAGGGAATACAAGGACAACGCCTTGCTGGCTCAGCTAATCCAGGACAAGCTTGATGCCTATAAAGCTGATGACCCAACAATGGGGGAGGTAAGTACAGGCTGGGACCACGAGGTTCTTACCAAGTGACCACAGTGTTTAGGGACAGTCGCTGGGGAAATGCAGGTCTGTTGCCCACAGAGCCTGTGTGAGGCTGCTATTCCTGTGACTGCCTAGAGCCCTGGGTCAGCATGAGCCAGGTATGTTCAGAGCAACCATGGGGACCAATCTGTTGCTGTTTGCCAGGACTTTCCCAGTTTAGCACTGAATCCACCTCATCCAAGGAAACCCCCTGTGATACAATAGCAAAGACAGTTGACATTGGTACCATTTCCAGACCTCATTCAGATTTCACTAATCTCTGCATGTACCTGGTGTGCGTGCAGTTTTGTACAGTTTTAACACAGGCATAGATTTGTGCAACCACCACTCCAATCAACACGGGGAGCTGGGGCCTGGGGGTGTAGCTCAGTGGTAGAGCACAGGCTTAGCATGTGTGAGGCCCTGGGTTGAATCCCTAGCACCACCCCTCCCCAAAAAAGAGAGAAGGGACAATAAAAAGGAAAAAAGAGATGCAGAGCTATTCCATTGCTACCTTGCATTTAGAATTGAGAGTCCGAGGTCTTGGGAACGTCTTGGTCCCCCACACAACAGATGGTTGATCACCTCCTTTGTAGCTGAACCTGGGCAGTCCTCCTACATAAGCTCCCTTTGGCCCCCAGCCACTCTCAGATCTGCTTCAAAGAGCCCTCACTAGGTAACAGAAACAGTAGTCTCGCATGGAATTTACTGGTCCTGTTGTCAAGCATAAACCTACTACTCAGTGCTGTTTTAGTAGGTTTGCTTCCTGTTGCCCTTTCACGAGAGGAGAGGGGCTCCACTAGTTGGAGAGGTTGAATTGGGTGGGTGCCCATTGAAGCATCTCTGTTTCCCCCCAGGGCCCAGACAAGGCACGCTCTCAGCTCCTGATCCTGGACCGAGGCTTTGACCCCAGTTCACCTGTGCTCCACGAACTGACTTTTCAGGCTATGAGTTATGATCTGCTGCCTATTGAAAATGACGTTTACAAGTAAGTAGTGTTACAGACTCCAGAATGACTGGGGCTTTGCAGATGAATTGAGAATGTCTCTAAGAAAAGGAAGGGTTTTTTTAATCCCAAAAAGTATATACATTGATACAGTCTCTCCAATATGGCTGTAAGCTTTGCTGTGGGCTCCCTGAATCCAAATACCCTTTCTAGGAGGGGATTCATACCCCTTTCCAGGGAGGTCAGGAATGTCCTCACCTGAACACAGTTTCTACCTGCTTGGGTAGGTTATTAGGTTGATTTCATGTGTTGAGTATATTTATCTTACTCAGAATTGAAAGTTCTCAATTATAGATCACAAAATGTGACAACAGAATACATTAACTAGGAGTTTTCTCTGTAGTGGAACCATTTTCTTCATTATAAAAATATTTTGGGGGCTGGGGATTTAGCTCAGTGGCACTGCACCTGCCTCACAAGTGCAAGGTCCTGAGTTCATTCCCTAGTACCAAAAACAACCAAACAACAACTTTATAAAAATACTTTTTGATCAAAAACTGAGTTTCTAAAAACCAATTTTAGGGGCTGGAGATTTAGCTCAGTGGTGCCGCTGCCTGCCTCGCAAGTACAAGGTCCTGAGTTTGATCCCCGGTACAAAAACAAAAACACCCCAATTTTTGTCTTTATGGAAGCAGGTTGTATGGCTTTAGTGTCATTTATCCTGTAGCATTGAGTGACTCTCAGCTCCTCTGCCTTTCAGTCCCTACAATTCTGCTTCCTCCCGCAGTTCCTGATTTCACATGTAACACTGAGCTGCAGGCCTGCTGTAGGGAGATGTTACAAGCCATATTGGCACCACACATTTGGGGATGATGTCCCAGCCCTTTCCCTCTCTGGGAAAGGGAGCCTTGCCGTTCCCCTCCTCATAACTCCACAGCCACATATCACCCGACTTCATGCCCTGGACATGGTGGCTCAGGCTAGGGAGTGGGGGCCTCTCAGATCAGCTGACCTTCAAGTATTAACCAAGTTGTTGACTTGGAGTAGAATGCCAAGTCTCTCCTGGGGTTCGAGCTGCCACAGCTGACCTGACCAGCACATCAGGAACCATTCACTTGGTCACCTGGCAGCTGAGGACTAGGGTGCTGTCGTGATAAACCAGAAGGGGGTCCAGTGAATGCTGTGACCGGGGGGCTCCCCCTGAGTCTGTCTCCTCCCTAGGTATGAGACCAGCGGCATCGGAGAGGCGCGGGTGAAGGAAGTGCTCCTGGATGAGGATGATGACCTGTGGATAGCACTACGCCACAAGCACATCGCAGAGGTGTCCCAGTAAGACTTGCGCAAACTCCGCCCTCTCCACTGTTTGCATCTCATCTGGGTCTGTGGGTGATACCTATGCTCTAGGCACCTTCGGGAGTCAGTTCCTTCCCTGGCCAAGCCATCAGCATGTTCCCAAAAATGACACATCCCTTCTCTGAATTTGAGCTGTTCCATCCTCATTAAGTTAGGAAATCCATTCTGCATTAGGTGGTTTTAGGATTCTTGGGAAGCATTTGTAGCTCTCCCAGAACAGTGCTTTATAAACATCATCTTAGTTTCTTTCCTCTTTGCTGGGACAAAATGCCTGATGCCGACAACTTAAGGGAGAAGTTTATTTCAGCTCATAGTTAAGTCCATAGTCAGCTGGCTCCAAAACATGACAGCCTGGTAGGGGGGCACGGTGGACAGGAAGCTGAGAGGGAAAGGCAAAGCTGGAGATTGAGATAAACCTTTCCAGGCTGTGTGCCTACTGACCATCTGCTCCAACAGCGCCGGCCTCCCGACAGCAAGCCGGCTACACTGCCCCATATTCCAATCACCTTCCAGACGCATTAAGCTTTGGAGTCCCAAACACGTGTTTTAAAGCCAGTTCATTGCTTTGAAAGATTCAGACATACTGTGTACTGCTGTGTCTTTGATAGAGGGGGTGTGCAGTCCTACCTCCCTGCCTGCAGTTTCTACCTCCTGAACTGTGCCTTGCTCTGTAAATGCTGCATAATGTTTCTAAAAATTAGACATTGTTATAAGCCCTTTCAGCTGTAGGTAACTGTTCTGTTTTTTCAGAAAGACACATTCTGTTACATTGAGTTGATGATACCCTCAGGAAATTCAGGAGGAAAAAAACAGTACATTCTTGGGTAGTTCTGTTGTTTAGAGAAATGATCTCCAAATCTTTTTAATCACTCAACCTTAAAAAATACTGACCCACATACTTTTCTAATGATTAAATATATTTATGGGTTAATTATATGCCTTATTGCACTAATATATATATTTCAGGGTTAAGAATGTAGTTTGATGGTAGGATGTATGCTTAAGGTGTACAAAGCCCGAGGTTAATCCCAGCACCCCCAAAAAAGTATATTTCTTTATTTGAAAAGGATGAGTTAAAAGGAACACAAATAGATTTTCTTCTCTTTGTCTCTGGAATCATCTGGTATGCCCTACTCTGGAATCCACTGGTTTAGAATATTAGTTAGAAAACAGTGTATTTCACTTCTCTTAGAAAGTCACTTTGCACACATACCTCTGTGGTGGGAGAGATGCCACAGCAGCCTCAGGAAAGCTAGTGCATGACTTCTGCAGCATTCACAGAGAGCCCTTGGTGTGGTTGTGAAGCTTACCTGCCTTCTTCCATTTTCCAGGGAAGTCACCCGGTCTCTGAAAGATTTTTCTTCCAGCAAGAGAATGAATACGGGAGAGAAGGTAAACACTTGTCAGTGCTCAAATGGCCTGAAAATTTGTGTCAGCTGACACTCAAGGTGGAGGAAGATGCCGCCCAGAATAAACTAGAATCACATTTCTGTCTTCATTTAATGTTGCATTTATTCTGAATTCATTCTGGCGTGGGCTGTGGGGATTTAGCTCAGTGGTTCTGGTGCCTGCCTTGCAAGCACAAGGTCCTGAGTTCGATCTCCGGTACCAAAAAGAAAAAAAAAAAGATTCATTCTGGCGGTCCCTTATTTTGATATTAATAGGAAGCTGACATTTGTTATTTAGAGGATTGATATTTACTGTTTGAGATCCTGATTCCCCCGACCCCAGTACTGGGGATTGAACCCAAGGCTTTTGTACTGAGCTGCATACCCAGCCCTTTATGTTTTCTTAGTTGTTACTTTTGAGACAGGGTCTCACTAAGTTGCCCAGAGTGCCTTAAACTTGGCATCCTCCTGCCTCAGCCTTCCAAAGTACTGGGATTACAGGCACATACCACCACACTTGGCTCAGGAGTCATTTTAAGCCAGAAAGCCATGAGACTTTTTATCTTGTGATAGAATTAGAATTCATAGCCTGATTTACCAAAGCCTCTCCTTAACCTGACTACCTGTCACTTCAGTCAAGGGGAGTGGACTTAGCAAATCAGCTCTGGTCATGTTACCATCTTCCTTAAAACCATTTAGTGTCTTCTGGTTCTCCTCAGAATCCAGCTTCTTCTATCTGCAAACAGCCCCTCCCAAGCCAAGACATCAGGCTGTGTCCTCTCTGCCACCCCCCTCCTCGTCCCCAGCTCCTTACTCCAGCCAGCCGAGTGCTCTCACCTCAGGCCTTACCTGGGCGCTTTGCTCAGCCATGGTTTCCTTGGGGATATCTAGCCTCTGTCTAGACCAGTGAGGTGTGAGTTATTCGCACCCACGCTACACACTGAGTCTGCTCCAAAGCCCAGATCCACTCTACTGCCATGGCTTATTTGGTGTCTCTGCTAAGGGTTAAGATCCGAGAAGCAGAAATTCTTTTAAAAAAATTTTTTTTCTTTCACCCTTGTATATCCAGTGCTTCCTAGTGCCTGAGGTGCACTAGTATCCAGTAGATTTTCACTGGAAGGGTTAGGTGGGTCACACAGTCAGAAAATAAACAGCCCTCTCTGACTTCCCTGTTCCCCGCCTGTCTACCTGCAGCCTTCTGCTGGGGAGAAGTGCACAGCTGATGCCAGAAGCAGTGTAAAGAAGGGAAAAAAATTGGGGGACAAGAATTATGCTCTCAATAACTCCCTAATCCAGTGGAATAAAACTGTTAGACTTCAGGGGTTAGTGCTCCCCTGGAAGATAACTGTGACATTTATAAAGATCAGTAAGTTTTTGAGCCAGAGGCGTGGAAATCTGAACACACTTGATCTTGTGTTGAAGAGCTTCATCTTGAGAGCTCCAGAGCAGCTCTTAGGGAGCCCAGTGTGGCCGCTATCCGTCTGGGCCTTGCAAGGCGTGTTAGGTCAAGGCCAGTAGAGCAACACTATTGCTTTATCTTTCCTTTTCCTTAGACCACCATGCGGGACCTGTCTCAGATGCTGAAGAAGATGCCTCAGTACCAGAAAGAGCTCAGCAAGGTGTGTTAATTGTGAATGGTATACTTGAATCATGTGTAAATAGCTGCAAAAAGACTTTGTAGAGCCCTCCTATTCTAATTGGAATCCACAAATTTTTAGTCCTCTTTAAAACTTTTATTAGAAAGAAAAGGAAAAGTCTAGGAAAGACAACTTGTTTCCCATTCCTATTTTCTCCCCTACACCTTTCTCTTCCTTTGTCCTTTGCATTCCCTCACTGTGGGTGGGAGGCCCCAGCTCCCCCACACAGGCCTTTCCATGTGCCTGGATGTCCTTACCGCATGACCTCTGGCTTCCCCACAGTGAGTGATCTGAGAGAGGGCCAGGAGGATGTCCTGATCTCAGATATCACATGCCCTTGCTTCTGTCCGCCCGATGTGAGTGAGAAGTGGTGGCTAAATCGAGCCTCACTCGAGGAGAAGGAAACGAAGCTTCCTCTCCTGGAGAAAGATGCAGCAAAAAATCTGTGGACACCTTGTAAAACCTGCACACCCTTGACCCTCTCTCCTGACATGGAGTATTTTCTTCCTTGTGTTTGTATACTCACTTGCACAGATTTTCTGTCCTCATGAGGCTAGACGTGACAGTGCCCAACAGTGCTATACGTAGCAGATGTTCACCTGATGCTGCACGAGGCAATGATTAGTTCCTTAATCAATTCTCCCGTGGTTTTTCCTAGTATTCGACCCACCTGCACCTTGCCGAGGACTGCATGAAGCATTACCAAGGCACCGTAGATAAACTCTGCCGAGTGGAGCAGGTAGAACTTTTTTCCCCTTTCTGTATGGCAGGGCTTCTGCCATGCCCTTTCACCCAGCTGAATTTTAATATCTGACCTTGAACATCCTGCAGAATCATAGGAAATAGACATGGGAGAGCCTGTGACCTCACGTTGTCTCAGCCCTGGAGCTGGTCTGGTTCCTCTCTCAATGGTAGGGATAGACTGATCTGGAGTGCCATGCCATTTGGATTTGCATGTCTGGCTCTTTCTAAAGGCTCTGTTTTCCCTGGAATGGCTAAAGAGAAACATAGGGAGTTCCAAGTCGTATTTCAACAGGTTGAATTTTATGTTCTCAATGTGTTCCCCTGGTGCTGTTGGCCCACCAGCTTTGGAGACACAGAAGCCGAGAGCAGGCAGGGCAGTAGTAGGTCAAGAATCCTCCTAAGCCTCATTGGTCAAATTTCATCCTGGAAATTAAAAGGGTGGGATTTGAGTTCTGTCTCTGTCACTAATATATACATAATTTAAATGTGCCTATTTCTCTTTTTAGTTTCCTCATCTCCAAAAGGGAATTCACAGAACTGACACATTTTTTAGGGGTATTGTATAGAGTCCCTTAACCTGGCCCTCCTTTCTTACTACTATTTTTTTTTTTTTTAGTACCGGAGATCGAACTCAGGTCCTTGCACTTGCACAGCAGGCAGCAGAAACCACTGAGCTAAATCCCGGGCCCCAAGGCCCTCCTTTCTTCAAACGTGACAATGTTACTATGTGTCAATTTTTTTTTTTTGATAGTGCTAGGGATAGAACCCAGGTCTTTGCACATGCTAAGCACATGCCGTACCACTGAGCTCCCCCCAGCCCCTGTATGTCAACTTGTGAGGAAAGAGAGAATGTGACATTAAAAGATTGTGAAAAGTCTGTTTTCACAGTAAAATGCCAACTCAAGTTCTCAGTGTAAAGCTTAAGATTTAAGTCCTCTGAGTTGGTGAGATAGCCCAGCCTAGGTTTCCAAGCCCCATCCCATGTTGTTGGCTATTTTATAAGGGGCAAAATCCATCCACTTCTCCCGTGAGCTTGCCAAGCAGGTGTCCTTTCCGAAGGAGCTTGACCATCCCAAAAGCAGGTTGTTCTTAAGCCAATAAAAACACAGTTTGGGACTAATCTTTGGAAGCTTAAACTTCTCAAAGATATTGTCAAACTCATTGCATTTAACTAGGCTTGCAGAGAGGGGTGGTCAGGTCCTGCAGAGTCAGGGCTAGGAGAGCTAAGAGGGGCCGGGAGGAGGAAGGGCTGCCCTGCCTTCCTCTAATCCGATCCAGCATGGAAAGCAGCTATAATTCGAGATCGTGATTTGTGTGGATTCCTGGGGTCGTGAGAGAAAAAAGGAAGCCTCCAGACAGCCTCCAAAGAGCTACAAAGGAAGCTGCGACTGAGGATCTCTGGGAACGACAGCAAGTGACCCTTGGTTTGCAGAGAGCAGCGCACTGCCCTCTGCATCCAAGGTGTACAGTGGGGCAAGGAACTGTGTTCCCTCTGGTCCCTTTCATCCCCAGTTCTTTGGGGATTGAACTTGGGTCCTTGTGCTTGCGCAGCAGGCGCTGAAACCACTGAGCTAAATCCCTGGCCATCCCCATTTCTTTTGTCAGCCCTTCTCTCCTTCATCTCCCAGGCCTTGAATTTGCAGGTTTGGAAAACCCCCTCATTTTTTTTCCTCACCCTTGAAACGTGGTGGGAAGATTAAAAACAGGTTAAAACCCTAGAATAGTCAAAACTCAAAAAGCTTGTCCTTCTGTGCAAGGGTAAGCAGAATGGAAAGAATCCAACTATGCAGGGGCCACTTGAACTGCCAGAGCTCTCCTGGACAGGGAGTGCATCCATTCCAGCTCTGATACCTTGGCAGGCCTAGGAATTGGCACAGGCACCCTCAGGCGCACCCACCTAGGTGATAACTTACCTTACACGAAGTGGCAGGCCCTGGGCTTTCTCATTTGGAGATTACACTTAGGGCCTGCCGTGCACTCTCACTGACGCTGTCTAAAGCAGTGCTGATGACACTAACGCTGACATTGCATGTTGTGAGAGGAGAAGCCCTGTTAACGACCTGACCTCACCATGCTGCACAGCCCAGGCATTCATGGGCCGCAAACTTCTAAGTGCTTCCACCCGTGCAGACTGTCACCGGAAGTAGAGCCAGCAAGGTATGTTTTCTACAGGACCTGGCAATGGGCACAGATGCAGAAGGGGAGAAGATCAAGGACCCCATGAGAGCCATTGTCCCCATCCTGCTGGATGCGAATGTCAGCACTTACGACAAAATCCGCATCATCCTTCTCTACATCTTTTTGAAGAATGGTAAGAAAGGGAGGGTATACAGAGGGGATAAGCTGAGAGAGAAAACAGCAGAAACATGGTTTATGAGAGACAGAAAGGGGAAGGAGTGTAGGTTCTAGGGGCTCTTCATGTTTGGGGAAATGCAGTGTAGTCAGATCAGTCACAAGCAGAGGCTGAGTAGCCTTTCATAATTCTGAGTTAGGAAGCATCGTGGATAGTGGAGAGGAGGATGGGGCTAGAGAGAAGGAAGAACTGACCGGCTTCGAGACAGTTTACCAGAGCTCTTCCTGCCATGGGTTTTTTTGGTTTTTTGGTGTTTTTCTGCCATGGGTTTTTAACTTGCATCACATTTGTAATCTCTACCTTTTATCAAAGAACTGACTTTTACCCACAACATAGTTGCCCAGAGTGTCCACGTTGCAGAAGATGGGTAGTAAGACTCCCTTGTCCAGTTTGACTTTGGTGGGCAGGGATTACTAAAAAGCAGGACAGCTGGAAACAGACCTCGAAGGGCAGCTGCTGAAGGTCATCACTTGGGACTGAGTGACTGGTGGAAAGGGAGTTAGAGTCCAGTTGCTGTGGTACCAGGAGAAGGGAAGTGGGTCATGGTGGCAGTCGCTGGGTGTGCTGATGGCCCTCTTGTGCCCACAGGCATCACTGAGGAGAACCTGAACAAGCTGATCCAGCATGCTCAGATCCCCCCAGAGGACAGCGAGATCATCACCAACATGGCGCACCTTGGGGTGCCCATCGTCACGGATGTGAGGGCCCTTCACGGGGCGGGGGGGGGGGCATGTCCTGTCTGCTATGTACTAAGGGACAGTGTCTCATGACGCACCGGTGCACCACACTGACTGCCCAGGAGAGGCAGATAAAGTCGGAGGTGAAGGAGGTCACAGTCAGGAAGCAGACGTGCACCTCCTGGTGTTGCAGTTGCCACAGCTGAGCTGCTGCGTCTCTGAGCTGAACTCAAACAGGTCACTCACTTTCACCCTTCATATTTTGAGGTTGGGCTGACTTTACCTCTGGACGCCTCAGACTCAGCGTCTGACCTGAGGAAGTGAAGGCCACACTTTGAGGCAGGCTGCCTTGCCACTTCTGAGTGTTGGGCAGAGATTGAGCAGATCATCTGGAGCCCCACCCGGTGTGCTCTGGGCAGGGCCCTACAGGACCTTTAAGAACACGTTCCACCTACAGGCAGGGAGCCCATGGAGCAGAACTAACAGAGCTGCAGGTGAGCCAGAATCTTAAAGACCCAGGCTCTGTGCCACGGCCACCACCACCGGGCAGTCTGCCACTGGCAGGATTTGGTGTTCATATACCCTTGTTCACCAGAGAGATCAAAATAGTAGTAGAGGTGATTCATTTAGTACAACCTATGCTGTTGAAATGAAATAAAAACTAAGTCATACTCAAAATAGTATTTCCTTCTATCATAGGCAGCAAGCTTTTTTTTTCCTTGAGGTACTGGGGATTAAACCTAGGACCTTGCACATGCCAGGCAAGTGCTGTACTTCTGAACTACAAACCTGACCCTTTTCAAATTTTTTTTATTTTGAGACAGGATCTTGCTAAGTTGCCAAGGCTGGCCTTGAACTTGCAATCCTCCTGCCTCAGCCTCCAGAGTAGCTGGAATTATAGGCAGGCCACCAGGTTCAGTGATGGCAAAAAATTTTTTTTAATTACCTGATTTTTTTTTAATGGCACTTACATATTTGACTTACATTTGTCATCTTTCATGACTTTAAAGAACCAAATTTGCTCCAGTCCTAAAAGGGGCACATTTTGTACTATTCTGGGGAAAACCTCCCCTCTTATTATTCTTTGCCAACACTGACTTTGAATTCCCAGAGGCCATTAAGGCACAGGGGGCCCCTGATCAGATTCTGACCTCATGTATGCTTGCCTGCAGTCCACGTTGCGCCGCAGGAGCAAGCCGGAGCGGAAGGAGCGCATCAGTGAGCAGACTTACCAGCTCTCACGGTGGACCCCGATCATTAAGGACATCATGGAGGTCAGTGGCTGGCTGTGGGGAGGGGAGCCAGGTGCTTCCAGCCTTACCTGCTCTCTGGTGGCCATGATACCCTGTGGTCTCACTTCTGTGAGGGAGTAAATGCACTTTATTCCAAGGGCTCATTAAGAGTTGTGACGAAGCCCCCAGGAGCCATCTGTTTGCTGCTTTTGTTATTGGGGATTTGGCCCTGTGCTTTGGGGCGCTCAAATGTTTTGATGTCTAAAGGAGCCATGGCCATGGCAGCATGTCAGAGGTCACATGAACAAGGTACTGGTTGTGGAAGGCTCTTAGCAAGGTGACGCAGCCTGGCCTGCCACTCCTCCTGCTGTTCCCCTCCCTGATCACCTCCATACCGAGAGACCAGGCCTCTGGTCTCCTTCACATGGGTCCCTTTCCTAGAATGTTCTGACCCTTCCCTCAGTCCTGCTTTCCCTCAGAGTCTGTAAGGTCACATAGCACCTGTAGGCTGCCCCACTTACCTGACTACCGGCATGGGGAGGCCTCCTCTGCTCCTGAAGCAGTGTCGGGTGCTCTTACATGCATGTGTACTGCTTACAGGTGGGTCATCTTCTGCAGTGATCCTGTCCTTGGCTGCCTGTCCTCTGGCACAGAGCCTTGCGCAGAGCAGGTGCTCTGCATCTGTTGGCTGCAGGATGATAAAGGTGGGGCATCACAGTGGCTCTGGTGTTTCTGCTGTGTCCCAGCCTCTCTTCTTTAGCGAGAAGAATCTGCATAGTCCTGCACGGCCAGATCCTTGGGATTGGCCTCAAGATAACTTGTTCCACTTCCACACTTGGCAAGCGAGCAAAACTAGGCTCCAGGGAAGGAAAGGACTTGCCCTTAGTTTGTAGCAGCCCAGGGGTGCCTTACTAAATCATATGTTAAAATAAATGTATTTTAAATAGATAGGATGAGTCAGCTTTCTATTTTTAAAGCACAAAACTGAAAGGATGGGTGGACGAGAAGTGTGCAGAAACCTGGTGGAACAGATAGAGCCAGCCTCTGTGTCTCATTCCCTCCTTTGCTCTCTCATCTTCTTGCTCTCTGGGCCCCCAAGGACATATGTGTCACATCGTGGCTCTTGCAAGGAGTGTGGATTTCCAGGCAGCAGGAGGTGGCAGAACCCACCCACTAGACTATCAAGCCCCTCGAAAGGCTGCAGGAGAGATTCTGCCCCTGGCAGTTTCCACCAGGCTGATGGCAAGTGTCAGGAATTTATGGGCAGAACACAACGTGTGTAACAGATTTTTTTTTTTTTTTTGGTACCGGGGATCAAACTCAGGACCTTGCTCTTGCGAGGTCAGTGGCGGAACCACTGAGCTAAATCCCTGGCCCAGACAGATTATTTTTAAAAAGGAAATTGGAAGAGAAACAAGGAAAATTTATTTTTTATACTTAAAGAGTAGACTTACTGACCCTTGGCAGTGTAACAGCCAGTTGGCTCTGTGAGCACTGGGCCGGGCCTTTGCCCTGGTGAGAGAGCTCAGGCTGTTGCAAACCTGGTCTCAGTTTTGCTGCCTGCCTTGCTCTTAGCATCATCTTGCTTTGGTTCCCTTTTCACATGGATGGCAGGCCTGACCTCTGTCTTTTTTCTCTGCAGGATACTATCGAGGACAAACTTGATACCAAGCACTACCCATATATCTCCACCCGCTCCTCCGCCTCCTTCAGTACCACTGCTGTCAGGTGGGTACACATGGGGTAGGCAAAGAGGTGGGGGTCCGACTGGATGGCAGCTACGTGGTTGTCTTGCTGTGAGATGATGAGACCCACAAGAGCCCTTCACCGCTCCCCACCACAGCCAGGATGCAGCCAAGTCCCTACCGTGGCCCGCACAGCTTCACCCCAGCTTCTCGTTCCTCACTCCGCCCCTTCACATACTCTGCTTGTGCCACACCAGTCCCCTTGCCAGGCCAACTTGTGCCTTAGGTCCTTTGCACTTCTGTTTCCCTTTGCCTGAAATGATCTGTCACCAGAGGTACCTGTACAGCCTACCACTTACCTCCTTCAGATCTTTAGCCAGGTGTTACCTCTGCTGCTCCCTAACCACTGTTTAAGTCCTGGTACACTGTGTTCACAGGGGCTGTCTGTCACAGCCCCAGTGTGGAAACAACATCAACATTCACTGACTGAAATAAGTAAACAAAATGCTGTGTATCCATACAGTGGCTCCTGAGAACAGTTGGGGCTGAGCAAATGAGCAAGGGACTCCAAGAAGGTGACTGCTGGCACCAGTAACTGCAGTTCCCAGGGTTGACAGTCCAGAACACGCCCCTCTGTCCCTCTTCCCCTGCTTTTCCACCTTTCTTCTCCTCTTTCTGTTTTCATTATTACCCTTCCCTGGGCCAGGGCCAGGGCCAAAGGCCCCTGGTGACATCTGTGCACTGGTGTTCCCTCTGATCTAGCACATGTGAAATGTTCATTGCCAAACTTGGAATAAAAGACAAGATCCCAAGGAGGGCTATAGCCAGACTGCTCAGAGGCAGCAAGGAGAGACCAAGCCTTGGATGCATCTAGGTTGGGAAGCAGCTGTAATGCTGTCCTAAGCCAGAAAGAACGCTTCAGTGTCCAGAGGAGATGTGTTGCCTTCCATTCATTTCTTCCTGCTTTCCCAGCCCAAACGCAACTCTTTTCTCCCTGCTCTGAAGGAGGTGCAGGGACTCAGGGAGGCCCCACGCTGCGGGGCCGCTCACCCCTGCTTCTCAGGAGGCAGCCTGGCGGTGGTGCCAGACCCGGCTGTACCCTCTGCCTGTCCCCAGGGTGCTAAGCTCTCCTCCATCACAGCACAGTTCAGACCTGCTTCTCTCACTCACCCACTCTCTGAACTTTGACCTCTTGGGGGGTCAGTGCCTGTCTCTCCCTGGGGACACAGTGCTAAGAGGCCCAACCTACCTGAGGCCTCTAGGGGACCCGTGAGGACCCGGCCTATCCTCATGGCTTAGTGCCCCAGGCCAGCTCAGGGTCATGTACAATCTGGAGCAGACACCTTACTGAGCACAATGCCAGGAAAGCTGCTGAATGTGACCCATCCAATGCTAGGGCTGGCTGAACCTGTCGCCCGCACACTTCTAGAGAGTGACAGGGTCACAGCACAGGTGTTCATGTGGCTTGGAATTGCGTTGGACTTCAACTCACCCAACCCTTGCGAGCATCTGCTCTATTTGGGGGCCAGGTGTACAGAGCTGTGGCATAGACAGCCACCTCGATCTGAAGCATAGGATACTCTAAATACAGACAGACGTCATTCTCTCCTTCTCTTCTTAGCGCTCGCTATGGGCATTGGCACAAGAATAAGGCCCCGGGGGAGTACCGCAGCGGCCCCCGCCTCATTATTTTCATCCTTGGGGGCGTGAGCCTGAACGAGATGCGCTGTGCTTACGAGGTGACCCAAGCCAACGGCAAGTGGGAGGTACTGATAGGTGAGTCCTGCATGCCTTCCGGAGGAAGGAGCTACCTCATTGCTCAGACACCATCCCATGCTTTGATGTCACATTGTGTCTTGGGTTCTCCATCGACCCGGTGAAACCCAGTCCTATTCACCTGGGTAGCAGAAACTAAGGGCAAAGGGGTCCCTTCTGTCTGTCCTTGCCGAAAGGCAGTACCACGAGTTGGAAAGTGCCTGATCATAGAGTCCAGCAGCTCAGGTTGAAACCTGTTGTTCGCCACTGCCAAGTGGGCTCACCTTGAACAGGTGACTTAACCTCTCCGAGGAGCCGTTGCCCTTACCCAATAAAGCCAGCTTTATAACACCCCCTTGCAGCCTTGAGCTAGTCCTGAGTTGAGCGCTGCAAGTTCCCAGCACCAGGCCCGCACTGTGGGCGCTCCCCAGATGGTAGGGAGTTATTAAGCTCCCCCTCCACCCACCAGTTCGAGAGGGATGGACAGTTCATGCGGAGATAGCATCCGGACCCTGCCAGCCTGACTGTCGCACTCTGTTAAGGCTCCACCCTCTACGGGAACATACTCATGCCAAGGAAAGCATGAGGCCGGGGCCTTAGTGTCCCTTGGAAGGGATGTGCTGTGCTCCACCCTATGGATGCACCCTGTGCGTCCTCTCTGGGGCCTAAGGATAGCTTCACAGGCCATTTACGTGTCCTCCCGAGCTGTCCCCTACCCATAGGTACCCACTGCTGGCCTTGATCCCAGGTAATCATCACCTCAGTAACAAGTGTTTTATACCTCCTTTGGGGTGACCAAGTCACAGCACCCCCCAAGCTATCCAAGTGTGCAGGCTCCATAGACCAGTCATGTGGCCACCCGGGTCCACCGATAGACTTGAGGCCATCAGTGCTTCTCAGTACCACCATCTGCGTCTGGTGGGAAGAGTGTGCTCCCCATTCCAGGCCCCAGGGCCTCCCATGTCTGATCGCCAGTTCCCCCTATAACCATTCTCCTTTCTGTGGTTAGGCCCCAGTGATGCAGCTGTGTCCCCTGCTTGCATACATGTTGCATGAATGTGTTGAATAACCTAAAGCACAAACACAGCATTCCTGGACAGAAGCTGTCACAGCCAGGCTTTGGGTGTAAATCTTCTTCCCCTTTGGACTTGCCTTAAGGTTCCATGATGGGAGGTGGGAAGCCGAGGGTAGAAAGCTGCCCGTGCAGGTTCGTGGAGGGATCTCGCACAGACAGCTGATGTCCACTGTGTGTCCTCATCCGCTTCGTGCATGCCTGCTGCCTTGCTGCCCGTGGCCCTGTGTGTGTGCGTTCATGCATGCCTGTGCGTCAAGCTTCCTCACACCTCATTGGCTGCGGACAACGTAGGCCTAAGTTGGCATGTTCCTGTGACCTACCTTTGTTCAAGCAGTCAGCTGGCCTCTGTTCTCCCACAGGTTCTACTCATATTCTTACTCCCACCAAATTTCTCATGGACCTGAGACACCCCGACTTCAGGGAGTCCTCTAGGGTATCTTTTGAGGATCAGGCTCCAACAGTGGAGTGAGAGCCAAAGAAACAAAGTAAAAGCAGCTTATTACAGAAAAGAAACTCTTCCACTCTGAAGGGTTTTCTTTGATTATTCCGTCACTCTTTTTTCTTTGTTTTTCCCTTTTTGGTTTCTTATTTTTTTAATTTTCTTTTAACAAGAAAATGCTTGCAGTTCTTAACACCGATTGAAAATGTGTCCAGTGCTGCCTTCCTACCCTGCCCTGCCCCCCTCTGGGCTCCAACCTGCCAGCTCACTCATGTCTTGGGCCACATGCTGCTCAGGCAGGCAGCAGCAGCCACTGGGTTAAACCAGGGCAGTAAAACCGAGCCTCGTGAGCAGTCCTCAGAGAGGTAGCCAGAAGTTGAGGTATGCCTGAGGCGTGGTGGTGCCTTTGCCTGCTGCCCAGGGCTGCACTGTGGGCTCCCACAGGGAATGTAAGTGTCTTGGTGGTAGTGTGGCTTGGGCGCTTGAGCGTGAAGCCATCTGGAAAAGGCCATTTCTAAAAGGCAGCGTCCAGGGTCTCACCTGTGGGTGTCCAGATGAGGAAGGCTTGGGGAAGCGACAGAAGAGGCCTCAGTCAGGGTAGATAGGTGAATACCTTCTCCCAGCACAGCCACTTCCCCAGGAGACAGGTGCTAAGTGTGACTGGCACAAGCCACCATGGGCTCAGTGAGAAGCGCTTTTGTCCAACGTTGCTCGCCAGAAAATGGCATGTGGAAGCCATCAGCTCTCTAAGAACTTGCTTTTATTTTCGTCCTCCTGTGAACCTTCCAAGAGTCGAGTGATGACACACTGTCTCCCTCTGGGGTTTCCTGGTGAAGCCTGAAGCCTTTCTGGGGAAATCTGGTCTTGATGCTTTGTGTATTACCAGATTGTCCTCTCTGCTGTGCCCCAAGCTTGCTACCCAGGAACCTCTTTTCTGTGTGGTACATGATCCAAATTGTGTTTTTCCACATCGTCCTCTTTCCTTCCTCTCCCTCCATTCTTCACAAGTGTGAGCACTTCCTGTAATGTGTTTAAGTGGCTGACTGATCTGTACCAGCGTAATTCCTCCACTTTGTTACGGAACCCGAGATCGGGGCCACCTTTTGTGCACCTGACCTCAGATGCACTGCTGAGGATGGACCCTGAAAACGCCCCTTCACCCTGAGCTGAGATGTGGCCTGGTGAGCCACAGAGCTTGAGCCACCTGTAAGCAGTCAGGGGAACCTGGGCTCTGGGCCAGGAGGACTGGACTCCAGCCCTGCTCCTCCATGAATGCAGTGGCTTAGGAAGTCTCCCTACTCCTGAAGCTGGATCAGGACACCTGAGGCTCCTTGGAGCTCTCACGTGTGTAACTCAGTACCTCAGATGTGTGGCTCAAACCACACAGATCCACCCACACTCTCTTTCTGAGGAATTGCAGAGGAATGATACAGCAGAACCTTGGCTAGATAACATCAGAAGCTTGCTCCTTTCTCTAAATAAAGTGATCCAGCCGGGTGTGGTGGCACACACCTGTCATCCCAGGACTCGGGAGGTTGAGGCAGGAGGATTGCTGTGAACTCGAGGCCAGCCTGGGCTACATAGTCAATTAAAGGCCAGCCTGAACTACAGAGTGAGATTCTGTCTCAATAAAAAAAGAAAAGAAAGAGATTGTGCATCCAGAAGGGAGGAACAAGAAGCTGCGCCATTTACCTCCTCTCCTGGCGCTGGCAGAGGAATGGCATGCTCCAAGGTAGCCATGAGCTACAGAGGAGCTAGTGATGGCCCTGGGTCTCGGCCTAGGTTCATCTTCCTCTAGAAAGCAAGGCCAGTGGGTGGGAACCAGAGGGAGGTGTTAAAAATAAATCATTCCCTAGAAGCACCCTGATCGGGTGTTAACCAGAGACATCTAGTTCTGAGCACAGTTGGCAGGTAGGTGAGCAGCATCTGCTGCAGGCTGTGTTGAGGACCCCTAGAGGACTTGCCAACTGCAGGACGGCAGACCACTTGCAGGATACGAAGGGATGACAAACCTGTACCCAGGGCTCCTGCTAGCATTAATGCTGGGGTTCCTGGCTTCCAAAGACAAGGCTCCTTTGAGGGTTTCCCTTATTTTCTATTTGATCAGCTGCAGCTCTGCTGCTGTCAAGAGAGAGTGCAAGCTCTGCTTGTGCACACTTGGCCTCTAAAATAGTTTACTGGCAATGTTGGATTTTACAGGGCTTAGTTAGGACATTGAAGCACAAAGCCCTGACACCAGAGAGCAGATTACAATCTGACTTCGGGCTGGGGATTTAGCTTGGTGGAAGAGCACTTGACCTAGCATATTTGAGGAGACCTGGGTTCAATTCCCAGCATGGGCGGGGGGCGACCCCAAGTGACCAAAGGGCAAAACAATGCAGATTGTTGGAGAACCTGAGTTTTCTCCTTGAATATCAGTTCTGTGGCAATGTATTTTTTAAGAGGTGAGTCTTCTTGGGGCTGAGGATTTAGCTCAGTGGTTCCGCTGCTTGCCTTGCAAGCACAAGGTCCTGAGTTTGATCCTCGGTACCAAAAAAAAAGGAGAGAGAAGAGTCTTCCTGCCCAGCAGTGAGTGTCCCCAAGACATCCTGCATGGGTAACAGTGCCTTCCTCTCTTCTCGCTGAGGCAGCTTCCCCAGGTCTGGGTCTCAGGATACTGTTGTGGACAGGTGAGGTGCACAGATTCCACCAACCCTCATCCTAGACCCTGCCATCATCCCTCCAAATCGTCCACAAAGTGGCACCTTTTAAGTTTCCACCCCTTCAGTCTGGTTGATTTGGGCCAACTACCAATCGTGAGGGAATGCCCAAGAGGCTGCCAGCAGCAAATGAAAAACTAGAGTCTGGATTAGACCTCTTGTGCCGCACATAGCACTTGGGAGAAAGTTTTTGCATTTTCATTTTTCATATTGTTGCTTTGGCCCAGACTGGAGTCAGGTAAGTTTCCTTCTCAGTGGGACTCAGGTTTGGACCTGCATTCAGAGCCCAGCTGCTAAGCATCACTCGCATCCCCTCCCCTCCCAGGAGGTCCCCGAAGCCTAGGATTGAGAGGAGAGAGAGACTTCTGTGCCTCCAGCTCACCCTGAGCAAGCAGCCTCCGCTCTGGCCTCCTGTCTTCCCGCCCTTGGGCTGAGGGAGGGGCCTGACCTCTGCGCCCCAGCCAACCCCGGTTATCATGCTCGTCCCTCCTCTCCGGGTCTCCCAGGGTCTGTAGGTCTGGGCCAGCCTGTGCTGGGTGATTGGCCAGTCTCAGAACTCTTGCTGTCTAGCTGATGTCAGTGTAGAGGAAGGATTTGTCCTGTCAGAGTTTGCTGTGTTGCCCATGGCCTTGAAAACGTTGGACAGGTGCCCACTCGGTTTCATCATCATCGAGTTAGGTGAAGTAGACCCACAAAGCAGGGGAATCCCCAGCTGCTCTTTTTGGGAAGGCTGACATGTCAGCCACATTTGGATTCAAAATGAGGACATTTGTAGTGTGCCTTATGGACTCACCCAGCTCAATTTGCAGTGTTTATAATGCAGAAAAGCTCAATCAACATTATTGAAGTGATACAGACTAGTAGGTATCAAAAATTGGCTTTGAGGTGATTTAGCTTAATACTGATTGGTCTGTCCCTTTAAAGAGACCAGGTAAGAGAAAGCCCAGGAATGTAGCTGGTTGTCACCAATGCTCTGCCCTAAAATTGTTCCTCGGTCAAGACAGGGAACTTCAGATGGTTTAGGATCAGATAGTATCCAAGAATTCTAGAGGATGGATTCAGTAACCTTCTTATGGCCTCCCCCAGATGCTGGATTTGCATGTAAGCAGGGGGAGGGGCAATTAGGGATAGGCATCTGACCAGAGGAGCCCTTGGGGTTTGGGTTCATCCTCAGAACCGAATCTGCCTTCTTGCTTCCTGGAATGCAGCGGGATGGCCAAGGAGCAGCGAGTTAGGGATGGTTTTCCCTGGCAGGTGTGCTCCCTGTTGTTGGCTTTAGGGAACCCCAGCTACCCCCACATTCCATATCCAGGGACGTCTCTCTGTGTCCAGACATGCGGGCTACATCGAGTTGAAGTTTGGAAGGCCTCTTGCTGGCAATGCTTCACACTTCAGAATTTGGGGCGAGCTGCTTTCATGTTTATGTCTTTTGCCCTCATTTGTCCAACAGCCTTTGACTTCCTCTAGGACTAGTGGGAAGAGTGATAAATTCACAGAATTGACTGTGCTTCAGGGTAAAGGGGCACTCAACACCAGGGACACACACTCCTGACACCTGCGTCACATCTGCTGATGGAGCCTCAGATCTGCAGCATGATGAGTCAGCTAGAGAGAGTCCAGGGCCCCAGACAGGCCGTTTGCTCAGGGCATCCACTCAGCATCCCCTGGGAAGTAGCCCAGGGCCGGCTCCTGACTCAGAGCAGTGAGCAGGGTCTGGGGGTCGACTAGCAGAGGGTGGAATGTTGACAGATGCTTCTCACAACGGGAAGGATATTATATATTTTCTGCTGGTCTGCACCGACCAGGAAGATAGCCCGAGCCAGCAGTCTTAATCAGCTGAGCAAGCAGTGATCAGAGGCATAGGGGCCCTGGTGTCGGAATCACACCCAACATGCCAGCCAAAGCTTTCTTCTGCCTGCCTTCGAGGGATATCTGGCATCTGGGGTTTCTACTCCCTTACTCCCACAAAGGCCCATCCCTCCCTAGGTCTCCAGGGAGGCACATTTTCAAGCACGGATCTCTTTTGTTTAGTTCTTCCTTCCCACCAGGATCTTTCTTTGAAGTCCACTGCTGCATGCGTGCAGGCCTCATGCTCACACGCCACCAGTCACTTCCTTTCTGTTTGATTGAGTCCATGTCCAAACCACACGATCCATGCATCATTTTTTACTGCACTTACTAGATCTCTCTCTCCTTATGAAAGAGGCCTTCATTTTTTAATTTGTATTTTTTTACTTTTGCGCTAGAAGTCTATCTGATTCCATTAGCTTAAACTTTGGCAAGCATTTCTAATCTTACAATGCACGGTCTCTGCAAGGTAAGGCCTCAGGTCCCTGCCCTTTCCCTCTCACACCTGAGGTCCCCCGCCACGGCAGAACCAGTCAGCCGGCTCCTGGAGCTCAGTGGCTTCCCCAGGGGCTTTGCCCGCCCTCCTCCTCCCTCCCAGGCACCCTGCTTTCCACACACGGTCCCCTACCGGCCCCAGTCCTGTTCTCACCCTTCTCCCCTGACCATGCTGTTTGGAATTGCTCTCCTTGGCCTCGTCTTGAGTTCAGAGAGAATGAGAAAAGCAGCCGCCCCATTGCCAGGCAGATGCCACTGGGCTCTGGTGGACCGGGCCTTGTTCCTTGGTATAGCCTGAGACCCTGCCTGAGCCGGATGATATGTTTTGTTTAAGCACAGTCCCTAAACATCTCCCAGGCCTACTGTGACAAGGGCCAGACCCCACCCCCAAGGCCCTCCCTGCTTTCCCTGGACCCATACCAGGGTGGGGGAGGAGAACGGGCGCAGGTCTGGGAGTGGAGAAGCGCAGGAAAAGACAAGCACTTGAGGCTAGAACAGGCACACTTACTGTCTTCTCTGCCTCCCCCAGGATCCACGCACATTCTCACCCCACAGAAACTGCTGGACACGCTGAAGAAACTGAATAAAACAGATGAAGAAATAAGCAGTTAAAAAAAATAAGCCACCCCTCCAAACCACAACCCCCTTCCCACAGTGCTCCTCAGCTCCCTAGCGCGACGCCTCGGTTACTTTGCTGCCTCCCAGCCCTGCACGCCCTGGCCGGCCCTGTCGCGCTGCTTTCTTGTGTTTCATGATGCCCTCTTCTCGTTTGGAGCAAAAGAGAATAATGCATTGTGTTTTTTAAAAAAAGAGTATCTTACATATGTATCCTACAAGGAGAAGTTCACCTGCAAGTGCTGTGCTGCGGAAGTGTGTGAACTCTAGAATGAATGGACTCCTCCCTGTTATTTATGATTCTGTGACCTTGTACATAGCCCCAGCGACATGTGCAAATTGCTTGAGTATGCAAAGGTAGAAGTTTGGGTGTTGTTATGGTCTTGTTTGGGGTTGTTCCTGTTCTTGTTGGGATTCACAGAGGTGTCTGTGTTCTCAAAGTATTTCACACTGAGGATGAATCTGTTCTCTTCACTCCAGTTCCTCCCCTTGGTGCCTGTTCTCATCCAGAGCAGCTGCGAAGTGACAATCGGGACAGACACGTTGTGAGGCTGGAGGTTCTTCCCCCACTCGCTCGTGCTCTCAGTGGTATGGCTACGGGTGGGGGTTGGGGGTGTCACACAAAGCCAGGCTGGGCGTTTGCTGGCGTCTTCTCCACAGCTGGCACTGCCCTCCCTGACCTGTGTCCGCAGAGGTGTGACCCTGAGGGGAGTCCTTCTCCAGCCTGAGTCACCGCGGCCAGACGTGTGAAGAGCATTTGCTCACTGGGACCTCTGGGGAAACTGTTAGGCCTGCCCACTTGACCAGACCCCTTCCTGCCCTGGCAGCGTCCGTAACAGCTCCTTTTCACGGGCAGGGTCAGTCTGGGCTGGCTCGAGCGTCAGGAAGCCCTGGTCAGGGGACCCTTTGCTGGAGGAAGAGCCATGGACCTGAAGAACAGGGCCCCTCTGTCCTCTCTTACTGGATTGAGGCTGAACCTGTCCCTGTCTTGCAAGCAACATTTGTTAGATTATCCTCAGTTTAAAATACTTACAATTCTTTATTTTGTGTATTGTGCAGTCATATGTCATTGTGGTCGTAAGAGAAAATGATCATTTTATTCTCTGTATAAAAATGTAGCTGTAAAGCAGAAATTAAACAGATGCTGGAAGGATGTCTCCTCATCCTCAGGACTCAGCAGTTCCCCAGTGCCTGGGAGTGAGCACATCGCTTGTTCTGCTGCTGTTGTCAGGAAATATGACAGTGGAAGTCACAAAAAACGTCCCTGCCCAGTCCCCGCCTCCCTCTCCCTCCCGCAGACTGTGTGTATCTTACTGTGTCTTGTGATGTCGTTGCAAATGTGGCGTATGCTAATTCAGCACAGCCTCCACCTTCCTTTGACAGTATGTTCCTCACCCGCCGGTTAGATGCATTGTGGTGTGAAATCCCCCTCTGCACAGATTAGTTTTCAGGTCACCTCCTGGTCGTCCCCTCCCCTTAAGAGATCTTATTTCCTTAGGACAGAACTGTAGGGCCTTGCATTGGTTTGTTTCTTATCCGTGCCGCTTCTTTTGTCCCCTCCCTCCGACCAAGCAATGCTTCAGGACCTTGTTTGTCAAACATGTTGGTTTTCCTTTCTCTGTTATTTATATAAAAATAATTTATCAAAAGGATATTTTAAAAAAAAAAAAGCTAGTTTGTCTTGAACCTTGTTTACCTTTAAATTATCAGAATCTCAGTGTTTGAAAGTATTGAAGCACAAACATGTATCATCTCTGTACCGTTCTGTACTAAAGCACTCAAGTCTAATAAATAAATCAGTGCCCGTTCGCATTGTCCAGGGCAACTGCAGGCTGGTTTTACTTCGCAGAGTGGAAGGAGGAGGCCGGCCACCGGCAGCGGTCGCTTCACCTGGATCCAGGTCACTGTCCTTGCACTAGGTCTGAGGCTGTCTCACATTTGAGGATGATCTGGGCCGGGGATTTCCCTCAGTGGTGCTGCCACCTGCCTCAAAAGCTCAAGGTCCTGAGTTCAATCCCCGGTACAAAAAAACCCCCACATATGAGGATGATCCATGAACCTTGTCTTGGGCCCCAAGTAGCAATGGGGCATTACCTAGAGTTGAGGTGGGCCTTCTGTACTTGTTTCTCTCCCTCTCTGGGGTGCCTCTGCCTCGGACACTCCAAGGCCTTGTCTGCAGAAGCCCCCGCTTGAGCATGTGGTGCTGCTGTATTTGGGGGACACAGTGGGCTGGGTCCCTTCATCAGCACCACCGCCCCTCCTCTCTTCCCACCCACATATGTAACAATTTCCAGATTGGAATCTGGTACATGTCCTGCTTCTGAAACCTGTCCGGGACCTTGGGGTAGACCCCGAAGCAGGGGTCAAGGTCACACAGGGCATCTACTGGAATACTAGGCTCGGGGCAATAGAGCTCCCTTTGGACAAACTTGTTCACCTCATTAAATCCTGTTCTCCAGCCGGGATTTGGAAATGGCTTGAGTATATTCCCCAAGGGCCTGGGCTTTGGTGGCATAGTCTTTAGAGAGGCGGTGCTGGGAGGTGACAGAACCTTCAGGAGATGGGGCTAAGTGGGAAATAATCATATCACTGAGGGTGCTGCCCTTGGAAGAAACTGATGATCCTATTAGTTCTCCCAAGAGGGTTATTAGAAAAGACCAAGCCTGGCCTCTCCCAGTCTTCGGGTTCGTCTTGTCCTGTGATTGCTGTCTCATATGCTTCCACCATGATGCCAACAGCCATGAGATCCTCACCAGAGCCATCCCGATGCCAGTGCCATGCCCTTGACATCCAACAGGATGAGCTAAATAAACCTTTTCTTTATATGCTACCTAGCCTCAAGTATTTTGTTACAGTAACAGTAAATGGACTAAGTTCAAATGTTGGAATCTGCACTACTGCAACCCCCGTGAGACTTGCATTGCAAAGAAGTGATGATGATGATAATAACCATTCCTGACCATGCCAGGCATGTCTGTTCAGTGGGTCCTCTCTAAGTTTACAAATGAGGAAGCCGAGGCACAGGATATGCAGTGATTCATGAAGCTCACTCAGAGAGTGTCCAGACTCCTGTGGTCATATGTCAGTAGCCTTTTCATGTTAACCAGATTGCCTTGGAGTGAGATCCAAGATTGGAAGTTTAAAGTTCTAAAAATTGTTCTAGGCTGAATTTACATGAAAGCAAAGTAAGACATGGCTTCTTCTAAGGTCATCCTTCACTGCAGGCCTATGGAAATTGCTCTCTAGTTGTTTTTTTTTTTTGGTCCTGGGGATAGAACTCGGGACCTTGAGCTTATGAGTCAGGCAGTGGAACCACTGAGCTAAATCCCTGGCTCTCTAGTTTTTTTGTTGTTGTTTTTTTTCTTGGTACTGGGGATCGAATCTCTAGTTGTTTTTGACATCCTTTAGCCAAGGCTTTCTGTCACCTCTCTGTCATGAAGCACAGATGGAGCCCAGAGCTCCAAGTCTTCGGTGGGCCCGGGATTTAGCTCAGTGGCACCACACCTGTCTTACAAGTGCAAGGTCCTGAGTTCAATCCCCGGTACCACAAAAAAAAAAAAAAAAAAATCTTAGAGGGGAAGGAGTTCTGAAGCAAACTAGAACTCATCCAAAACATTCATCTCTGATGAGCAATCCTAAAATGAGCTGGTGCTGGTCACTTGACCTTTCCGGAGACCTAGGTCCACACCGGGACATTCAGCAGAGTCTGCTACCAGGCCAGAAACCCAGCTTGGTGTGACACCACTCACCTGTCCCTGGGGAGGCTGAGTGACAGTGGCTAGGAGCACAGACCTGGTGGGATCCACTCTGGGCCTCTCTCCACATGGCCTTGATGAGAAACCCTGCTCCAGGATGATTCCTGTGGAGAAGCTGAACCTGGCTGGCTGTAAGCATTTTAAGCATTGGTCACTGGTGAGGTGACTCCCAGTGCAGCCTGGGGAAAAGGAACCCACAAGCCCATGTGTTCATCACCCAGACAGGGGACACATTGTGCATTCACCTGGAATACTCGGAGCACCCCTGGTTGCATCAATTAATTGAATAAATCTCAGACTCAATGTTGAGTGAAAAGCAAGTGTGGAAGGAGCCATGCAGAACAATGCACTTATAGAAAGTGTTCAAATAAAAAGCACTGGAGGGTCAGGGTGCAGCTCAGTGGAAATCACATGCTTGGCATGCACAGGACCCTGGGTTCAGTCCCCAGTGCCAAAGGGGGAAAAGCACTGTGTATTGCTCAGGGATATGTATGTGCCAAGTATGTAAAAACACATGGGAATGATAAACACCAAAGTCAGGGTAGTGGCCACCCCTGGGAAAGGATGATTATTATCCTGTTACCTCAGCTCACTAATCCCAAAAGAATCAGTGGCTGAAAATGCTTCATTGGCCAGACGTGAAGGCCCACACCTAAAACCCCAGGGCTCAGGAGGCTGAAGCAGGAGATCCCCACGTGTTCGAGGCTAGCCTGGGCTGTATAGTGAGTTCAAGGCCAGCCTGGACGGCAGAGCAAGACCCTGTCTCTCACACTCACACACACACAGTACTTCATTGCCCAGGTGTGGTGGTACACACATGTAATTCCAGCTCTTGGGAGGCTGAGGCAGGACCATTGGCATGAGTTTGAGGCCTGCCAGAACCACAAAGCCAGACCCTGTCTCAAAAAAAACAAAAAGCAAAAAGTGCTGCATTGAACAACAACAACAAAAAACAAAGATAATCACTCTAACTGTGGCTAACGTATATTGAGCGCTTGTGTGCCAGGCACTGTGCACTCTGTATGTGTCCTGCTAAGTCTTCTCACCTTCAAGAAGTAGTGTCATCAGCCCGCCTTGCACAGGAGGAAGCAAAAGCACAGAGACAAAAAAAAAAAAAACCCACAGAGACAGACTCACGTGGCCAGTGCCCTCCTGCTGGTGCACAGCAACCTGGCAAGAGCCTGTCGGTATAAGCAGGTGGCAGGATGATGATGTGAATAGATTGTGAATCTGTAAGGGCTGGAGCAAAGAACTCAGTGAGGATGATGGTTTTATTTAGGGAAACCAAAGAAGAAAAGACAAAGGGGAAGAATAAAAATTGAATTTTCTTGAGCCAGGGAGCTACTTTCCTGGTCCCCTCATGCATTATCTATTTGCAAGAAAAAAAAAAAACAAAAGGAACTCTTAAAGCTCAACAACAACAAAAATAAAATGACCTGGTTAGAAAGTAAGCAAAGGGGGCCGGGGATTTAGCTCAGTGGTTTTGCTGCCTGCTGTGCAAGCGCAAGGACCTGAGTTTGATCCCCGGTACCAAAAAAAAAAACAGAAAGTAAGCAAAGGACTTGAAAAGACATTTCTTGAAAAAGATGTTCAAATGGCAAACAAGCACATGAGAAGATGCTCAATTTCACTAAATATTAGGGAAATGAAGATCAAAACCACAGCAAGGAGGCTCAGGCAGGAGGATTGCTATGCTTTCAAGGCGAGCCTGGACTACCTAGGGAGACCCTGTCTTCAAAAATAAAACCCAAAACAAAGCCACAACAAGATACCATCTCATACCCACTAGGATGGCTAACATTTAAAAACACACACCAAAAATAACAAGTTGGTGAGGTGTGGAGAAATTGAAACCTTTGTACACGATGCAGTATAGGTGGAGATGTAGAATTGTGTGGCTGCTGTGGAAGGCAATATGGCAGTTTTCAAAAAATTAAAAGCAGAATTGCCATATGATCCAGTAATTCCACTTCTAGATAAACCCAAAAGAGTTGACAAAAGGGGGCTTGAAGAGATGTTTATACAACTGTGCTCAAAGCAGCATTATTCGCAATAACCAAAAGGTTGAAGCGACTCGAGTGTATGTTGATCGATGAACAGATAAAATATGATACACACGGGCTGGGGATTTAGCCCAGTGGTTCCGGCACCTGCCTCACAAGCACAAGGTCCCAAGTTCAATCCCCGGTACCAAAAAAAAAAAAAAAAAAATATATATATATATATATATATATATATATATATATATATGATACACACACACACAAATCACAAATTTCGCTCCATTATGTGATTTTTCTTTTCTTCAGGTTCTAATTTTGAAGAAGTTTGTCAGTTTTTTCTTTTATGGTTAGTGCTTTCTGTGTGTTTTTTTTTTTTTT